AAACCCCTCTGTTTGGAGCTAAAGAGAGTAAATAAAGAGCCACTTTTTTTGCTTGGTGAAAATATTATTTGGCACTCAGAGTTCGCAAATTTTGATCATTCACAATCTTATGTGCATATATATTGGTATCGGTTAGTTACATTCATGTGTACACTGGCCCAACCTCTCTTCAATTTGATACTACTGAAACTTAGGGTGCAAATCTATGTTCATCAACCTAACGCGAAATGGGATGAATAGTTACTTTTTTACATTTTCGCCAAAAATAGTAAATTTTGCCGAATAATTTTATCAATCTTAAATGGCTTAATGTCATAAATGGACGATTAATAAACTACTTATTGAAATGCGTGGAACAAAAGCCCGTATAGCTCAGTGGTAGAGCGTCAGTCTTGTAAACTGAAGGTCCGTAGTTCGATCCTGCGTGTGGGCATTTTCTTGTCCTCAATTTTTAATTACTTATTGTAAATGTTTGTTATTATTGACAGTAATAATTAGTTACTTATACAATAATAATCAAACAGTTCACTTCTACAAAAGAACTTAGTAATAATTAGTTGAAAAAAAACTTGATACATTCTTCCTTGAAGAGAGTCTCTCTGCCTCTTTGTTACATTCCTGCCTTAAGGAACACATTATACATCAGATTAAATATCTTACTTATATATGTCATTGGTTACTAAAGACTTGAGAAAACAACACTTGTTTTCAGAAATTATGATGCAAGAACAAGCTCTGTCCAGGAGAAGCTGGCCCTATCTCTTCCTCAAGACTCCTCAATGCTTCTTGTTGTTTCCTCCCATCCTCCTCCTCCGCTACATCTCCTTCAGATGCCGACGATTTTCGCCTCTGCGATGATGTCACGCTCGGGAAAGTTATCCATGATCCGCCTCTAAATTCCGTATTCTCGGAACCAGACCCTTTTGAACCGATCCTCCATGACTTCTTGTGCATTCTGCTGCTCCCGAGCACTACTTCTGTTGGTAATATTGGCTGCTCACTGCTTGGGTTTCCCATTAGCTGTGCAAGCGCTCGTTCCAATGATGTTGTCACTTTATCCATCGATGGTCTATCTTTCCCTCTCATCCTCACGCATTTGCAAGCCACGCTCACGATTCTTTTCAAAGCTTCGATTTCAGATGGATGTTTCAAGACCGGGTCCAAGAGTGCGTTTATATCTCCTGCTTTAATCAAAGGAACCGCCCATTCTACTATGTTCCCTTCTTCGTAGTGCATGTCTATGGCTTTTCTTCCACTTAGGATCTCTAGAAGCAGGACTCCAAAGCTGTAGACATCGGATTTGGTTGTGAGATAATGCAGTCGATAGTACTCAGGATCAAGGTAACCAAGAGTTCCTGCTGGTAGTTCTGCCAAAGGAGAGCCGCTATCAACAGGACCAAGTAAGGAGAGACCAAAATCAGCTACTCGAGCATTGTGTTCTTCATCTATAAGAATGTTTGATGATTTAATATCCCGGTGAATCACGGGAGGGCAAGCATAACCGTGCAAGTATTCGATTCCTCTAGCAGCTTGGACAGCAATCGTTACTCGTTTGACCCAATCTAGTTGCTCTTTCAAGGCCTTGTTCTTTCCATGAAGATGGTTGTGCAGTGAGCCGTGTGCCATAAACTCATAAACTAGAAGCCTTTCTCCACCTTCTTCACAGTATCCGAGAAGGCTAAGAAGATGAGCATGGTTGAGTCTTGATAACAGATCCAGCTCCGTGCGAAACTCATTTGAATTCTTCTGTTTGTCTGATGACATTATCGCTTTCTTCACTGCAACAGTGGTTCCATCTCTCAGTACTCCTTTGTACACACATGAGAAACTCCCTTTCCCCACTATTGATTCTTCTTTGAACCCATCGGCGGCTTTTTCAAGTTCCTCATAAGTGAAAACTCGAGCCCTTCTGCGCTTTTGTAGCTCATCGAGATCCGGACGGATTTTGCCATTATCTTTCATAAAGGCTGAATCTTTAGAAGACCTTGCATCATTTTCTGAGCACCTACAATTCCTCAATCTGTACCTAATGTATAAAGCCGCTGTTATCGAGACAACTGCTACCAAAAACAGAGCAAATCCAATCTCTGCAGTTGCAATAGGTAGCTGCAGTGACCAAAACTTTCCTTTTTCTTTGCCTCCACTGGTAGACGAAGAAGAGCAGTTTGAGGAGCAGTCAGGTGAGGAACAACTCGAGCAGTTATAAGCACAAACTTGATCAGATCTCTCTGTGCATTCGCTTTTCTGATACATTCCAGGAGGGCAACTGGTACTACAGGGCAAGCAAATGTGAGAGCCAGTCACTTTGCAAGGCGAGTTGTTTTGGTTACTGAGTTCATGAGTTCCTGGTGGACAAGGAGTGTCTATACAGAGTCCTGGTGAGACAGCTAAAGGGATAGAAGCAGGGAAACCAAGACCCCAACAAACCGGTGACATAGAAGTCCCTGAGAGAACTCCGCAAGTGAAGTAATTCCCTGCTGCAAGATCATAAAAGCCTATACCTTTAGGAGCAGGTGTGCTCCGGTTCACGAAAAAACCCCAACAAACCGCACTATGATCATAGCGTTTGATTCCACAAGCATAAAACTTCCCACCTACCACTGCCAAGAGTGGCTCTTTTGGTGGTAAATCAAGAATCTGTTCTTCCGTAGAAGTCCCTGCGATCTCCTCTTCGAACTCTAAGCTCTTTCCCCAACAGAGCACTCGCGATTCCAACCCGTCAAGAATGCCACAAACATGGTATCCACCAGCTGCAATTTTCTGAAACTTTGTTTCCTTTGGTATTAAACTGATTACTTGACTGCTATTCTCATCTCCCCAACAGAAAACAGACTTGTCTTTAGAGGACAGCGCGCAGTTGAATTCCGAGCCAGCCGAGAGGGAATGTAACTGCTTATCAAAGACAAAGTTTCTTGTCATATTGTAACCCCAACAATCAACAAGGGAAGAAGAAGAAATGTTGCTGCCTTTTCTTCTTCCCACTATTGGCTTCCGCAAACCACAGAGATGGTAATCGCCAGCACTAACTTCGAAGTACTCAGATCCTTTGGTCATTGGTTGAGGAACTCCCATTTGAATAAATGCACTGTTTCCCCAACAATAAGGCTGATGAGATAGCATCAGAAGCCCACACATAAACCCATCTCCACCCGTTAAACCGATGAACTGGAGATGACCAGGAGTCCCATAGAGGATCGCTGAGTTCGATCCGTAGCAAACCACAAGATGAGATCCATCAGACTTCAGACCACAGAATACAGAACCACCTTCTCCATAGGAAATTGCAATTGAAGACATTGAACCAAGAGCTGAAGCAAGCTGCCATATACTAGTGAAAAGCACAAGCTTTACAAGGAGAATCCATTCCCTTGCTCTCCTTTCGCACATTCTCATTCTACACAAACCAAAAAACTTCTTTTCAAAGTCAACCCACACGCTTCTTAGCTACTGTCTTCACTTTCAGAGACATTCCATAGATTGACTAAGAGTGTGAGAACCTTGCTTGGTAAATAGCAAACGAGTCACCAGAAGTTCACAAAACTGTGAAACTGCAATCAAGGGCATGCAATAACTAAAACAATTGAAATTTCAAACAATGAGAGCTGAATTAGTGTCGAAGAAACAGAGGACTCGTCAGCCAGACAACCTCCGAAGATGTAGGAGACAATCTTGAAGTGGCAAATTCAGACAACCATGTCAAAGAAGGACCTCTTGTCTCTCTGTTCTTCTGCAACGAAAACAAAAACACTTACCCCTTTGAGATCTCAGACCGCAAGGTAACAACATCATAACATCCTCAAAGACCCTTTAAAGCTAAGCTTCTCAAAAAAAAATCTCGCAAAAGTTTTTTGCCGACTAAAGAAGTGTTGAGAGAGAGAAATTGGGTAATGAAAGTAGGAGCTAGAGTTATACATTCAACAGTAGCTCATGAAAATCTTGAGAAACCAAAAGAGAAAGAGAGAAGAAGAGAGAGACATGGAGCTTATCAAAGAGAGTCATGAAGTACTGAGATGGCATTAAATGCGACCAAAACTGCTGCTTCTGAATAATGGCAAATGTAGGTGACGCCATTTATTAAATATAGTTAATGTTACCAAATTTTCTCTTCTTGCTTTCTCGTTTTTACTTTTCTTTTTTTTATTTTTCGAATTTTTCCCCATTCTTCCCAAATTTGTGCAATCTAACCCAAAAAGTTTTATGTCAAGTTTCCATCTCTATGCACATTGGAGTTTAACACAAGATTCAATGAGAGACATTAACTATTCATTCCTTCAAAGCTTCCCTTTTTTTTTACTATAATAATAATCTTTTTTTTTTAATGGGTGTTTTACTTTCGCCGTTGCCGTCGGTGTTTGGTTTCGAGCAAACCAAAACATTAGATCACTCTCTTAACTTATAGTAAGTAAATGGTTTGTGAGGTTTCATGCACATATATTTTTTAGTTCAACTCTGTTTCTCGAGACGCGAGACACAAACATCCTCTTTTGTCTTCTTCCTTCTCATCTCCTTGTGCCCAACAAAAGAAATGTTTTGTCCTCTTTAGACTCAAGATTTCAAAAGAGAGGTCTGTCTTCTCTGTCTTATTTCATTTACAAGAACCAAATTGAAAATCTTAAGTTGACTCGATTTTATATGTTCTTCCTTCTTAAAGTTGACTTGAGACCTTACTGATTCTAAAAAATCAAAACTCAACTAACTATATGGTTCAGATTCAAAGAATAAGAACCGGTAGTCACGTGCTACTCACATGCTAACGAAACAATACATTGCAGACGCACAAAGACACTCTATATTGGAAAGTATCTCCATTTACCTCAAATTACCTTATCTTATCAACATTCAAACCCCAAGTTTTTTTTGTGTCAACGAAGATGATAATCTTCATATGTTGTGTAAATAGAAGCTTATCTCTTAGGAACTTTGAGGTGAGTATAACACCTTCATATGTTTCCATGGATGTCACACCACCATGTTTCATTCCCTTACAGTCAGACCTTTGCTTCTTTTCAACAACATGGTGTATTCAACATTGGTATGTAAGCTAACCTCCAACATTGGTTTATGAATGATGTGTATAACAACACAGAATTGCGTTTACAGACAAGACAGCCTTGAAAATAATAAAAGACAGAAACCAAAAAGAATTGCATACTGACCTAAAAAAACTGACTTCTCCCTAGGTCATTGCAAAGACCTTGAGTAATAATCGACTCAATAATCTTGAAGGAATCTCCATGTATTTGATGGCCTAAGTGCAAGCCAACAACCAAAAATAATTACTTCATTATTTTTTGTTGTATCTTATAGAGAGAGCACAAAATCATACCTCAAAAAAAAAGCAGCAGTAGAAACCTCTTGGTTAGAGGAAAGGCCATTTCTTGACTATCTCTACATCATGTATATAGCCACTTTTCTATTACTTCAACAATATTATACAACATAATGGACGCTTCACCCTTCAAACAAGTCACTCTGACCGTGCCTGCTCACTTAAAACTTCGCTCTTTTCCTGCGGAGGACGGAACAACGCATAGGATAAGGCAACTATCGTGTTTATTGATTGTAGCGAATTGATTAGAAAGGAGACGTTTTACCTGCTCCTCGGTATTTGGTGGCAGAATGTTCTTGCCTCCATTGCACCGGAACTTGAATGACTCAGAATAATTAGTGGACTCTCTATCGATGATGAACTCTGGAGAAGAGATAGTTGAGGATCTACTGGTCTTACGCGGAGAACACGGCTGGTTTGAGTGATAAGCCTCTGCTTCTGATGATGATAATTCAGAACCAGCTCCCCATGGACATATAACAGTACTTGAGTTTCCGACCTTTTGAAAACTTTCCATGGATGGATTTTCCGGAATTTCAACAAGGAGATCACCAGCTGAATGATTCTGTTCTGCAGCAACCATAACAGATTCACTTGCCAACTTCTTCCCTGGAGGAATAATACAGTCCAAGTCAACTGGATTTACACAGCAGCTTTTACTATAAGATTCGACACAAGATGATACAATCTGGCCAGGTCCAGAAGAATCAGGTACAGACAAATTAAGCCCGTTTTTTTCCTTGCAAGTGTCTGAGCTCTCTTTGATTCTGCTGCATGGTTCTATGGCAGATGATGCTAGAGACCGTTCACCATTGGGATGATGATCAGAAGGTAACTGAGCATTGTCTTTCACTGAAGGACTTATAGATGATTCTCTCCTTACATGAATATCCGTGTCTTGCCCTGAAATCTTCTGTTTCTTACACTCTGTAGCATTATTGATGCCGAGATCAGAATGTGGGGATTTTCTGCGACGCATACTATCACATACATTGACCTCATCCCTCATGCTTTTAATCCAATCTGATGGATTGAAATTTAGATCAACTGAAAGGCTAATACCCTCTTCTAAACTGACATGAAACTCAAACGAAGACGAACTAGGACTATCACCACTGTCTACATCTCTCATTCTATTTTCTAGCCGAGAATCTGTTCTCTTGGAGTTTGCTGTTGGGCCCTTTTCATTCAATTTCCTCATATATGGAGGAACAGATGTAGAATCAACCAAACCATCATTTCCATTTCGTTCCTGCATTTCCACAGAAACATTTAAGAGACGTTAGAAGTTGGCCAGCAAAAGAGTGGCAGAGAATTAAGGAATGTAAACAAAGGACAAAATATTGATGCAACTATGTCAATAAATATCTTTGAGAAACTATCCTACATTATAGCGATATGACTCTTGTACCATCTTCCACAAAGGCGAAAAATAGCGCGTTTTATCAAGTTTTTCAATGAAAACCAACGAAGTGAAAAGTGAAAACTACTGCTGACTCATCCAAGTGGTTAATTCCAACATAAAAGTGAATTCGAACCTGATACGGTGTATTATTCCCAAGGATAAAGCCTGGCTCTCTAGCCACTGCACCTTGAGCATAATCCTCTCTAGGTATATCCAATTTATTACCATAAGAATCTGCAATAACATTTAACCAGTCTTCATAAGGGGAATAACAAAATGAGACAGGAGAAAACTAAAAGCAACAGAAATAAATTCACCAAAACCTCTTTTCACGTTCCATGTTCTAATCAGTGGTGCTCTAGAAGTTGTCGCTGAACTATCTTGATTCACAGGGACCCCAAAACCTACCGAGTTCAAACTATGTTTCTGCAATTGTTAGATAGATACAACAACACATGATTAGGTTCCCAACAAAGAAAATCATTAGGAGAAACAACAGGACATGTGACCATATTAAATTTATACAGCAACAAGGCATGAAATAGCTTATTAATGATTTCAGATTATCTTTTCAAGCTACAAGTTTCTTTCCTCATGAGCCATATTCAGTTGTCTGAAACATTATAGAGCCAACAAAAAAAAAACTACCTCGAAAAAAGAAGCCAATGATTCAGCCATATCGGAACTTGATCTATTGGCAGGCAAATTATATTTCTTGCATAAACTCTGAAGCTCTTTCCTTGAAAATCCGCAATAGAAATCCACATCTTCCTTCCTGACCATCTGTTACCATTACACCATATCAAATAAAGGACTACACTTTTTAGGAGCTTGAAACAAAGAAAGACCAAAGCAGCGAACTTTACAAATACAATCCTCAAGATTTTCCCAACGGTCACAAATTTGAAGGAATATAAAACAATAGATTTACCCAAGTGGACCAATGAATAGAAGCTACAAGATACTTCAAGAACTAGATTCAGCTGAAAGAGAAGAGACTAAGAAGATATAAAATTTGACCAAAGAGAATGCTTCCTGTTACAGAACATCAAAAACCTAAGAGAGACTAAACACTGACAAGGACACAATCGAGTTAATCCCATTTATTTAGATCGAAAGAACATGGAATTTTTTAGAAAGAGACGGCGAATTGTTCGTGGAGGAAGCTTTAGTATTACCTGCTGATCGAGTGCTTTTTCCGGGAATTTTGCCGAGAAAGTGTGAGAAAGTTTCTGGAGAAATTGGAAGTAGCGATTTCGAAATCTGCAGACAGAACGAGCCCACCTTTGAGGAAGCTGTGTCTTCAAATCTGGACGTGAACTTAAAACTCAAAATTATGGATATATGGGCCTATTTCAAGCCCATTTATGTTTTATAGCCCAACATATAACATGTTTTCCGTAGAATTATGTTGGTTCCTATAGTTTTTGACATATCCGAATTTGAATTATGGTGAGAGATTATCTAAGTTTTAACACTAATCTCATAGGTTTATCAACGTTCGGTCATGTATCCTAACCTAAGATTGGGAACTTTTCGAATACCAAAAAGAAAACAAATGCTCGAGTATATTTTAAAGAAAAATATATGTATAGTATTAAGCAAGTATAGTTCATTTTTTGTTAATCATTTCTCGATGTTGTTTCAACATTTAATTAGCTGTGGAAGTGTAATATAATAACCAAAACTAATTAAGGATCATGTGACTTAGTGGATTTGAATGAGCTGGAAGACAACCATAACAGGTTTACACACCCCATGAGAATCTACAGAATATATTTACTTATTTAAGTTATTTTATAGTATATGAAAATCAATTTAATCGAATATCCACTAAAACAAAGTTTACCGAAATTTGTATTACCAAAACTTGATTATTTTAGCTATTTTTGTTTTTGGAAGGATTATTTTCCGCTATTCTGTGGCATATAACACTTGTGGCACAAGTCGATCTATAAAAATTGCCATGTTTGGGGCTATTTAGCACATTTCAGCCAAAAATGATATTTCACTGATCTGAATCCCGATAGATCCATCGAAAATAGTCCAAAGCATGATCCTCTATATATAGTAAAACAAAAGAAAAAACTCTTTATGTTATATAATATGTCTTTTTTCAGAAAAAATCTAGTACTATAGGATTTTGGTTTTTGAGATACTATAACAAAATGATTAAAATTTAAGAGTACCCCATTATGTTATGTATCCTATTCAAATTTTGTTCTATTCAATTCAATTTGTTCCCTTAATTAATTATGATATTCATATGAATTGTTAAAGGAAAAAAAAGAGGGACCAACGGTCATATTGCAACGGGCGTCATTTGTTCTCTCCTTAGTGATGTGCTAATGCTCACTTATATTCATTTTATTGTAAACAAGTTGTTTAAAACCACCAATAAACGGGGACAAGAACCAAACATCAACAATTATAACAACGCGTTTTGTTATAAGTTTATATTTATCATTTTTCTTCTATCAAAAAATGAACACCCTTGAATCTTGATCACGCGTATTCTAACTTCTGGTATATTAAATTTCCCAACTACTTAACGTAACTTAGTTTATCTTCGTAACTTTTTTTTTTAAGGTTTTGTAGACTATGTAAACTCTCATTCCTAATTCTACTTATAAACTATTCTATCGAAAGCAATCAAAATTGTTAAGTATCGACACAAAAACAAGATCAAGTGGTATACTTATGTAACCAAAAGTCAGTGACTAGCTAGTGTTTGCATTTTAATTTAGAAAGACTTTAGTTTAGAGTCGTGCTCTTTAGTGTTAAAATAACAATTACTGTAGACTTTTAGTTAATTTTATTACAGTCTTGGATATCTTTGTATTACTCAATTTGCTTCTTCTGTTTTTTCTAAAGTCCAAAGGCAAAGAGGTAACGTCTAGGTTAATTAATAGATCCAACGGGTTGTACCAAAAAAAAAACTTTATATTAAAGGACATGTCTCTAAATTATTGTTTACGTCCCCATCTCTCTTCCTCTATAAAATATAAACAGAGGCAACAATATTCATTTCAAGTTCCTCTGTATAACAAACAATTGAAAACTCTCTCTCCATCTCTGTTCTCAACAAAGGCAAGAGTTATGGTGAGAGTCTTTCTTCCCTACAACCTCTTTAACTCCTTTCTTCTTTGTTTAGTTCCCAAGAAGCTTAGAGTTTTCTTCCCTCCTTCTTGGTACATCGACGACAAGAACCCACCACAGTCTAAATCGGAATCTGAATCCCCGGGGAGAAGAGATCCGGTGGATCTAAAACGAGTGTTTCAGATGTTCGACAAGAATGGAGACGGACGCATCACAAAGGAAGAGCTAAACGATTCTCTAGAGAATCTAGGAATCTTTATGCCTGACAAAGATCTGGTCCAGATGATCCAAAAGATGGATGCAAATGGAGATGGGATCGTAGACATAAAAGAGTTTGAGTCTCTTTACGGTTCGATTGTGGAGGAAAAGGAGGAAGAGGACATGAGAGATGCGTTCAATGTGTTTGATCAAGACGGTGATGGGTTTATCACTGTTGAGGAGTTGAAGTCTGTGATGGCTTCCTTGGGGCTCAAGCAAGGTAAAACCCTAGAGTGTTGTAAAGAGATGATTAAGCAAGTGGATGAAGATGGAGATGGTAGAGTCAATTACATGGAGTTCCTTCAGATGATGAAAAGTGGTGACTTTAGCAATAGATCATGAGTTGATCTTTTTTTGGGGTCAGATAGAGTTTCTATATCAAATTGGTTTATATATTTTCTCTGTAAATAAATTATGAAAAAAGAAAAAAGAAAAAGAAGCTGAAATCCTGAATTGAATGAATTTGATCAAAATAATTAGACAAAGAGATTTGACTAGTCACTTGCTTGGGTGTTATAAGTCACACAACATGGAGAAGAAGGACCAATCTATCTACATCTACTATGATTAATAATAATGTATCAGCTTTCTCCAAGCTAAGAAATTTGGAGAGGGATCGAGTCAACGCAAATAGTAAATAAGTAACTTGACATAGATTCTAGGAAACTTCATCAACCCACGAATCATTCAGACATAATTTATCTTTATTTGGGGTATATATAGTACTAATTAGCTATAGATAGATAAGAGTTTATAAAGAACAAAAACAAGTAAAATTAAAGAAGAAACAAAATTGCCTAGTCTTTTGGGCGGTGGTGAAATCTCTATCCTGCAATGCTTCATCAATATGCTTTTGTTTGAGTCTTTCGACGTAAGACAACTGTTTTCACACCAAAAAAAAAAAAGTGATAGACAAACAAAACGTTATAAAATAACCTCTTTAATAAAATATGTAAGTAAAATAAAATGCTCCGATCATAAGCTCACTTCTTTTTGAAGAATCAGCCGCAAAGTGGCATGGTATTTAGCTTCTTTTTCGGCTTTCTCCATTCTTTCCAAATGTACTGATCAAGTTACATGAAAATTATTACTAGAGAGGTAAATCAAACATTATATGTAATTGCTACAGAAAGATTTTTAAAAAAAAGATGTGGTCGTAGTACTCGATTCGTATCTCCCCCCGAATTTGCGAGCTAGCTCAAGCTCTGTGGCAGCCTGGTCCAGACAGTATTTCTCAGAGTGTGCAATACCCTCAATCGACTGATATGAACGTACAATGAGAAAGACAAGATATACCAATACTAATTAATATAGACTTCATTATATATCTTAAGATGGATTCAAGACTTATATACATAGTTAATTTCAGAAAGATGCAATTCGACAGATGAAACATATATACCCTGTTTAACTTGACTATAACCTTTTGAAGAGCTTTGATCTTCTTCATGGGCTTCTCGACGAACATAGACGTACTACCGGAGTTGAAAAAAACCATTCGAATCCAAAACAATCTAACAAAAATAAATCAAAGAAGATTAGGGCTTATCGATCACTCTCTTTACGATCCTAAGACGATGTTGGACACAAACCTGACGGATGCTAAAGCAATTTAGCTCTGAGCGAAGAATTCAAGGACCTTTGTCTTATGGGTTTATGGTTTCCGAAAAATCATATATATACCAAACTAAAAAAAAGGGGGTACAATTTGCTGCTCTATAAAAACTTCCAATTTGCTTCCCCAAAAAATATTGTGTATCTTTATAAATCTTTTAATAAATATGTCAATACGTGATCCATATATAGAGTTTTGGAAACAGGATATATATATTTCACAAAATTCTTTAATTGATTTCAACAGCAAAATAGATACATTAAGACTAGTAAGAAAAATAATTAGATGAATAGAAAAGTTAAATATAACGGAAAAAGTTTGTCTAGTTTTCTTTCAAAGTAAAATTAGTTGACGAATTTTTTGGAATTATTTTTCCTTCGTTAGCAATTTTAAAAATGTGTGTTTGCAATCTAACAGCATTTATAGATTCTGTTAATCCCGTCAATGGCGGTCAAGTTGCATGTTTAAAATTGGAAACACCAAACATTTCAAAATGGGGCATTAATCGATAAAACAAAAAAAAAAAATCATCTATTTTTTTACGGAAAAAAGAAGTTGCATATTGTTTTCCAAAAATAAATTTTTTTTTTTTTTTTTTAAAATCTGAAAAGGGATTGTCAGAACCTGGCCTGGTTCAGCTATTCTCTACCCGACTTACAGAATGGGCTTACAACATGTGCAGAGGCCTAACTAGATAATTAGAGATGGAAGAAGGCCCAACACAACTCAAACCTTTTATACCATAACATAATTAGATTTTGAACGACGTCGTTTTGGTGTAGAAATGAACATAATTAGATTTTGAACGACGTCGTTTTGGTGTAGAAATGATTAGTACAAAGTGCCATGTTAATTAACAACATTGTAAAATAATCATAAACAATAGAGAAGAAAAGCACCAGAGCTTTCTTCGTCTCAGCCGAATCAGAAACGAAATGCAAAACTTACTCAAAATAACAATCGATCATAGAATAGATGATATGCACAAGAGAGTTCTCCGTCTCAGTCAAATCAGAACGAAATGCAAAACAAGAGTACCAAAATAAAAATCAATCATAGTAGAGATGATACACACAAGAGCGTTCTTCATCTCAGTCAAATCAGAAACGAAATATGAAACTCCAGCAAATTAGCAACAGCCGATCAAAGTAGAGATGAGAAGCACAAGAGCGTTCTTCGTCTAATTTGAATCAGAGAATAAATGTAAAACAAGAGTACCAAATACAAAATTCAATCAAATTAGCAACAATCGAATGTTTGAACCAACTATAGTAAACTAAAATCGAGAAGAATCAGGCAAATCTATAACCTAAAATCAACAAGGAGCACAAGGCAAATCGAAAACCTAAAACCTAAAATGCAAACAGTCAATCAAAGGACCTTAAGTAGGGCCTCAACGCAACATGGTCAGGACATGAAAGTATTGTTTTTAAATCCAGCCAACTTGGCTTTGTATAGATTCAATTACTTAAATAAAATTTATAGTTTGTTGGAAAAAAAATACCAAACAAAATTGATACTTGCATTTCAATATGGCTTAACTATTCCACCATTAAAGGTCTTTCAAATTTCTCTAAAGTTTGAAAGTAATCAATCTTGGAAATTGATATGGTAAGCAAAGAAAGTTGAACTTGCTTTGCACATCATATTTTTTTTTTTGCATATGTTGAAATTGATATGAAATTATTAACTTGCAAGTTCCGAGGTAAAACAAGTTTCGGATGAATTTCACGATCATCGACATCTTCAAAGAGAAACAAATTTCATCAATCAAGTCTAACCACAAGCAATTATTTTGTTTTGACCAAGAGTAAATATGTCTAGTAAAAAAAAAAAAAAATGTCTAGTATAACTAATTTATTATCTTTTTTAGTCTCTTGGCAATAATATAACTAATTTAAGTTGAATTATAGTTAAAGTCACTAATGAAGTAAATGAGTAATGATTGTAGATTTTGTGATTATTAGTCAAAATATTTGTATTTTATTTTACTTTCCCCCTCAAAAGCTTGAACGAAATTGTTTGTGGGCTTGTCTCATACTTATATAAATCTAAAATTGGACAAAAAAATTGTTCATAATAAAAATATTCATTAAGCTATTTTTTATATATCCCAAAGATCTGAGTTCAAGCCAAAAAGGAAGAAAAAATAAAAAAATTCGAAATGAATATTTTTGCGTTTTCAAAATAAAATAACATAAATTGGTTTTTTTATTAACGGAAGCTAAAGGCCTAAGAGCATATGCAGTGGTAGAGACTCTCAAAATCTCTCAAAATATATTATTATAATATATATACATTAGTTTAATCGTTTATTTAAATTTGATGTAATAAAAAAATTTTAAAATCAATTACAGGTTGACATGTTGACATGTGTGACATGAGTCTCTCAAGAGGTTCTCAAAAATTCTCATGTGAAAACCAATGCTCATGTCACTCTCTTACTTTTTATTATTTTTTCTTTTTATATTATTGAGAACAATTGTGAGAACCTCTCATTGCACATTCTCTAAGTCATCTTATATTTGAGTTAATTTTGACTAGTCTTCTTTTAAATATCAAATATGCAAAGTGCAAACTCAAATTAAAACTGAACCCAAAATTGGATTTTTTTAAAAAAAAAAATTTTTGAATACCAACTGGATATTTTTACTACTATCCGATAATGTCATTATCAACATTTTGTAGAAAAAGTATTTAAGAAATTTGTATCATTATAATCAGCCAAACTAAAAAGATAATTGTTTTGCATCCTTGTGTGATTACATGAACATAGTAAATCAACAGACATAGCCTACCAAAAAAAGATCAACAGAAGACAGAACCAAACACAAACAATCTAAACAAGATGGGCTCTTCCACATGAGACATTACCGCCAGATACACACAACCTAGAATATGAACAAGCAACGCAATCGTTCCACTGCATTTTTAATCACCAAAACTTTTTTTCCTCGTTGAACCTGTCAAATATTTAAACAGACTAGTGTAAGAGGTGGTAAAATCTCTGGAAATATGTAGATACGGTTGCCGTTTAAACGGTCAATTTCTTCAGATTTGCTATTACAAAACTAAATCTGAGAAAATATTACAATCTCTGTGAGAGAGAGACATTATGCTCAAGTACAGTAACCGACTAACATGCCATCATCACATGTACAAATGATCCAATATCATTACATGAACTAAGAGTCAAAACCTGAATTGCTTATGTTACAAGAATTCAGGTTACAACCATAACATAACCTCTAGAAGATTCTCTAATATGCCATCAGATCCCAACAACCAGCTATTCTCAAAAAATCAAGTTCCACTATGAAAAGAGTGTTTAAAGATGATTCTATAAGTAAAACAATGAAGAGTTCCAAGGACAGACTTGATAGCAAATGTGAAGACAAAACTAGGGGAACCAGTAACTAATTTATTAGTTATACTAGAAAAAAATGTTTTTAATACCAGTATTATTTTATTTTCTTTTGCCAGAGGGGAATAAAGAAGAGAAGATCTATCTCCTAAAATCAATATGCTGAACAAGGAAATACCTGAGACAATAAAGGCTATAATTGGTTTTGTTGATGATCTCTCTGTTCCAGATTTCTTACATGCATTGTCTACTATGTGTTGGATTCTTTTAGAGAGGCTTTTGTAAGTAGCCGCTCTCTTTTTCTCTGCTGCATTAGTTCCTGGATTTTGTCGTGTTCCTTCTGCAAATGAGGAGAGCAAACTTTCAGAGTTCAAATCTTTTCTAGTACCATACATATGTAAGCAAACCCAAAATCAAACAGGCTCATGAATATGCCATATATAGCAATTAATCATGAACTAATATCCCCACAGAAATCTATTAACCGGCTAACCAAGAAACACTCATTTGGATTTTAACTCATGATGCAATCGCTAAGTTGTGAAAAAGCTTGGTGATCAATCATCAACCTCAGTTCCTGAAAAAAAAAAGGAATGTTGATCAACGGAAATAGCAACAACTGACCGTATATGGATCATTAATGCAACCTCTTTCAAACTCTCCCAAGTCCCAGGCATCAAAGAATGATTATGCTCCTTGACAAACTTTGCGATAATAAAAAAATATGAAAAGCTGAGAACAGAGGAAAAATGCAAAATTCATGAGTTCAAGAAATCGTGGAATGCATAGAAATGCTCAGGAGAAATTTTAGGTATTTCAAGAAACTTAAGTTTATATCCTTGCTAGTTTAATTTTTAATTTATGGTTTTATATAATTAAGTTAGATGGTTCATATTTAGTTATGAACACAAGCTGGTTAATAACTTCGTATTGTTCACTTCCCTCCTTTTTGGCTTCCTTGGGGCTCAAGCAAGGTAAAACCATAGAGTGTTGCCTTTTGCATTAGGCAATAAAATACCAAAGTACTCTACTCCTATGGAATCGGCCTTTTGAACTATTCAATGGTTTGTTTTGAATACTAATTGCTTTGTAAAAATAGAATCCACCACTTGTCAATATTGCCACATGTTTCTGATTTCAGTTTTCTATTTAAAGACCTAGAAACATACAACATTTTTGACGAGATACTAAATAATCAGAAAATGAAGATCAATCCATTGATGTTCATCGCCTTGATGGTACTCTTGACATCATTCCCCACTCCAACGCTCTCTTATTGCAAAGAGTCACTTTATTTATGTATACAACATATGAAAGATAGAGCCACGTGGCTGAAATGTTGTGATAGACTAATAGTAGCAGGACCATGTATGTGTAAGTATATTAAAGATCCTGTGCAAAAGAAAGATGCTTACCGTCTTATGGCTTCTTGTGGAAAGACTATTCCTATAAATCAGGATCTCAGGAAATATTACAAGTGTGGCTAAAAATAGTCAACCAACGAAAGCGATAAGCGGTCGTCAAGCCGAACCGGAGATACTTAAATAGATTAGTACTTATATCGAGTGTTTCCTTGTCTTCTTTTAATCGTTCAAGTTGTTGCTCGAATTGGCCTTGTTTATGTTTATGAACCATCTCTCCCACTTTCCACGTTTTTCTTGCTTTTTGGAATTCACTCTTTTAAATTCGCTCCTTTGTACTTGCTTCTATTTAAAGAAACAAAGAAGGTAGTCGACTTGTATTTAAAGAAACGAAAAAAAGGTAGTCTAAACTAGAGAAAACGGCATGTGCATACATCCTTGGGACTATTCTTCTGATTTCACTTCATAACTGTCACAAAACATGGCCAAGATCTTTTATCAAGAAGGAAAAAAGATGGTATCCAGAACTCTCAGACGTCCATTCTCGTGTTTGTGAGTTTAAGGGTGTGGTCCGCAACTCTCTCAAATGTATTTCTAACAAGTTTAGTTCACAAGAAATTATCGTCTTCCTTTATAACATTGTCGTTTGGAACTTCCTTGAACCCCAAAAAAAAAAGAGTTTAGTTTCCTAATTAGTTGATGATGTTAGGGTTTGAAAACTTACATGAGCAGTCAGCATAATCGGGAGAAAGATGGGAGTCTCGACCCTTCTTTATTCATATATGACTGGTAATCTATACCCTCCTTTAGTATATATATTAGGCGATGAGACCATGCGTCCGTTCCAAGTGAAGCTGTTGCGTGTTCTTGGTTATGGAGGAACTACTAAAGAGTTGGAACACTTGAAATTTTTTATTGGGGAGTCGGAATGCCGTGAAGTGGTACTAGTGGAGGCTGTGGTGGATGATTCCATGTATTGCAAACCAAAAGGGTACTATTGTTGACGCTTCTTGGATATTCAGTTTCATCCGAGTGCAAGATCTCATTTAGTTTATCAAATTATACTGTGTAACATGAAACTCACATATTGCAATTCATGTTGCATTGCTCTTGCAGTTGTTAGAGCCTCTTTTATTGCAGGGAGCTACTTCTATGTAACATTTGGCATTTGCATTTGGCAGTCTCTCCCTTAGATGTTAAACCAGTAACCTTACCTACCTCGTCAAACTCCACCTGGCATAACATTTAACATTTCTACATATGAATACATCGTCCCTACAATACAATTTAACACGTCTTGCCACTCTTGCGGACTTTACACCCCAAGAAAAAAAAAACAAAAAAAAAAAAGACAGGGCTTCCAACAAAAGAATCAAGAAATAATAATCATTTAAAACTTTAAGCGGCACTCCAGAAACACTTACGTAAGATTCCATGTATGGAAGGCACACGAAGAGCCATTTATGTGGTCCATCCATTAGCTTGGATTTTCAGTTTCATCCAAGTGCAAGATCTTAGACGATGAAAGGTGGTGATTAACAAGCTGATTTGATTCTTCACTCTTTGTTTTGTGATCTTAAATAGATTTTACCAGCAGGAAGATTTGCAGGAGAATGCCGATTTTATTACAGAAGATCTTGATAGAGCGTAAAAACCTTCATTTCATGTACACTAAGCTATGTCTATGCATCATCCGAACAAAACTCTCTTCAAGGCATAAGAAGATGAATAAACAAAACTCTCTTCAAGGCAATTGCAAGCTCTTTTGTTTTCGACAAGAAATTTTTTTATTAAAGAGAGAAAATGGGGAATAAAGAAGAGAAGATCTATCTCCTAAATCAAACTGCTGAAGAATCAACAAGGCAAAACCAGAGACCAAAAGACTATACTTGCTGGTTCTGTTGATGATCTCTTTGTTCCAGATTCCTCACATTGTCTACTATGTGTTGGATTCTCTTAGATAGGCTTTCGTTATGCTGTTCGATCTGTTCAAATAGCATCTCCAGATGCCTTTTGTAAGTAGCCGCTCTCTTTTTCTCTGCTGCTAGCTGCTGCATCAGTTCCTGGATTTTGTCGTGTTCGTTCTGCAAATGAGGAGAGCAAACTTTTAGAATTCAAGTCTTTTGTAGTAATAAATGAGATAGAGGCAAAATCAAAACACCAGCACATGAATATGCTCTATAGCAACTAGTCATGAAACAGTATCACATCAGCATATTAACCAGCTAACCAAGAAACACCAATCTTGGATTTCAAATGCAACCGCTGTATATAAAAATCTATACTTGTTAAACACCAACTCGATTCCTGAAATAGAGAAATGTTGATCAACGCAAAGAGTGATCAACGCAAAGAGTGATCAACTAACCGGATATTGATCATAAATGCAACCCCTTCGAACTCTGCCAGGCATCAAAGAGTGATTATGCTCCTTGACAAACTTTGTGATAACCCATTTACCAGAATTTTCTTTTCTAATCAAGATCATTGCTTTACATCCAACCCTTGTTTCCGCTCTTTGTCTAATAACCTTGTCCCGTTTGCTAGGCAACCTGTAACCTTCCTTGTTACAAACAAGTTGCCTGCCTATGGGAGATCCATCATGCCTTGACCGTGACAGTTTACTAACACGGATGACGAATCCTACTTTAGTAGCATACGCATTATAAAAACCATGAGCCGCTGCTTCAGATTCAAACTCCTGGCCAACATAAGGCTCATCCCCTTGAGCCTCTGTCATATCTGCAACTGCCAGAGGAATCGAATCAGGATCCACCTTCTCATCTTGCTCACCAGAATTCTCACCAAGTTCATTATGGTTGTCATCATCTTGCTCAATCATTGCCTGACCAGAGCTTTCACCCATTTCATTATGATTCTCAACCGTGGTAACCTCAAGCTCAACAGGAATCCCCATCATCATCCCAGCAGCTACACCATTATCAATCCTGAAATCCACTGCAATTCAAAAGGGAAACAGCAATTCCACAGATCAACAAATATCTAGCAAGAAGAGCTACAATTGTTTTTACCATTTTACTAGCACATACAAAGAGCCTCTATTACTAAAAGTTGTCTTCTTTTCTACAATGTTTTCCAATGTCTAATTCAAATATGAGAACAAAGCTCAAATACAAGTGCTTTCAAATCATACATAGTCTCCAGAACAATACAAAACAAAGCTTAAATCTTTGGGGTGAGTCTGAGGATGAACCTAATCAAGATTCAGCTTCCCATCGATTCAAGATTCATCATCAAATCGGGTTTTGGAAAAGTTCGAGATGTCCAACTTCTTAGTCTCATTATGTCGCAGAGACTGGTCTAAGCGGCTTAATCTCAAATCCAAAATCGAAAATCTGAAATCCGAAATAATGGTGAAGGAATAAAATAATCTTACTGGTCAAAAGTTATTTTCCGGCGGAAGTAGGTCGGAGACGACGATCGAATTAGGTTTTCGATTTGGGGGAGAGACAGAGAAGGTGCCGGTTCAGGGTGTGGATTGCAGTAGCCTATGACGTGGCGAGATATGATTGGGTCAAAATCGGAAAGAAGTCAACTCACCGTTCATCTAACCTTTGGGTTTATCGACTCTATGGTTCCTCCGGTGCGCTTCCCCTCGTATGATTATTCCTCAACTCTTTTTTTTTTCATTCTATAGTTTTTGTTTTTATTTTTTTACAGCGTAATTCTCGCCGACCGACGCACCCGTTAGACCGGTGTGTCCATTACTTTTCATAAATGTTATAATTGACCCCTTTATTATCTTTTATTTACAAAATCATCCTTGTACTAACAAAATTTCTCTAATTTTCCAGCATTAATTGTTTACGTGTTAACCAGGCCAATTCAGCCGGTTTGAGTCGTGTGGACTCAGCCAGGCCAGTTCAGCCGGTTTAACTAACTTTCTTTAAAATGCAATCGACAACATGATAACCAACTAATGATGGTTTAGTATAAGATTTGACTACCAAACTACAGGACTTTAAGTGTTTTAATCATAGACATTTTGAATAGCAAAATTCTTATTACATAGTAATATATTCAGTTACTTATATTTTATGATTTAGCTTTTATCATTATCTGTTTCCATTGTAATCTATCCAGATAATTCGCAACTCTAGATTAATGGATATTATAAATCAGCTATTTTTATTTGTTTTTCAAATTCGATAATGAAAATGATCGTATAACACCTTCCAATATCCAAACTGTATGAATCAGTAATCCCAAAAAAAAAAAACTGTAAAGTAACTAACAAAAATTAGCTTGACATTTTCGGTTTTTTAGAAAGCAATTAATTGCTTTAAGTACGTGGAAGAAAACGTCCAAGGAGAAGGATATTCGTTAGTTAGTGATAATTGATAAATACAATATAACTTGGGAAATAGGAAATCAAATAGTGTTTGGTACTCTCATAAATAAAATGATCATATAGGTCAAAGCTAACCCGTTTTTTTTTTTTTAAATAACACATAAATATTTCTCGATTTATGTGTTATTGAGATTTACATGAGATAGTATCCATGGTCGGAAATGAAAGTTATCCTAATTCCTAACAAATGAAATAATCGAAATTAAAAGAGGATTAACATATTTATCCAACAACGGATAAGCCCCTAGTAATTATCCTTGCGAAATACGAAATTGTAACATCACACATTAATACATTTCGATTTTCGTAGATTTTCTTTTAATTATCCATGAATGGTATATTTATGGAAAAAGAAAGTTATCCTAAACAAACAAAATAATTGGAGTCAAAAGAGGATTAATATCTTTACTATATAACAACGGATAAACCCTTAATAATTAACCTTGTGAAATACGTCACGTAGGTCCCATTGAAGAAGCAAAAAATCTGGTCAAAAGCACCAATCACTAATCACTCTAAATCTCACAAAATCATAACATATATGTAAACAACCAATAGAATATATTACGATAAAAAAATCGTTACCAAACACAGTTTCAGATCTCTTACGATATCTGATCAATCTTTAAATGGATAATCTATTAAATGTGATTTTTTTTTTATTAAATATAAGTCTTGTGGATTTGACTAAACCAGTCACCCTAATACCTCTATATAAACCCTTCATTCTCTAATACCTCTCCTTATATCCAAAACCTAATCTCTCTCTCTCTGCTCAATCTTAATCGTCCGATCAAAACACTACGACGACAAATGGCAGCATCCAACGGTGAGAAAAGCTTGATCGTGAGTTTCGGTGAAATGCTCATCGATTTCGTCCCAACTGTCTCCGGCGTATCCCTCGCCGACGCTCCTGGCTTCATCAAAGCCCCTGGTGGTGCACCTGCCAACGTTGCTATCGCCATATCCCGTCTTGGCGGTCGTGCCGCTTTCGTCGGGAAACTTGGTGATGACGAGTTCGGTCACATGCTCGCCGGAATCTTGAAACAGAACGGCGTCTCTGCCGAAGGTATCAATTTCGACACCGGAGCCAGGACTGCACTTGCGTTCGTGACACTAAAATCTGACGGAGAACGTGAGTTCATGTTCTACCGGAACCCTAGTGCTGATATGCTCCTCCGTCCCGACGAACTCAATCTTGATCTCATCAGATCTGTACGTTATTTTTATCTTTAATTTATTAAAATTAATTAATATATGACACGTAAGCAAAATCTTGATGGGTCTCTAACCTATAATTAGCGAACGGTGCTATATCGTCAACGTAACGGTTGTTGGTATACGTAACGTAGATGTGAAGTTAGGTTAATGAGTGCTCTGTTTTGTTTTTGTTTTACAGGCTAAGGTGTTCCACTACGGATCCATAAGCTTGATCGTTGAGCCATGTCGATCTGCTCACCTGAAAGCCATGGAGGTGGCTAAAGAAGCTGGTGCGTTGCTCTCTTATGATCCGAACTTGAGGCTTCCTTTGTGGCCCTCCAAGGAGGAGGCTCAGAAGCAGATTCTTAGCATCTGGGACAAAGCTGAAGTGATCAAAGTCAGCGATGAAGAGCTTATGTTCTTGACTGGATCTGATAAGGTTGATGACGAGACTGCTTTGTCTCTGTGGCACTCTAATCTGAAACTTCTTTTGGTCACTCTAGGTGATAAGGGTTGTAGATACTACACAAAGGTAATGTTTTTTGAAGCGTTTTTCTTTCTTTCGGATTTGATTTTACCATTTATATTACTCAAGTTGTGTTCTTGCGTTTATATGATTACAGAGCTTCCGTGGATCTGTTGATCCTTTCCATGTGAACGCAGTGGATACAACAGGTGCTGGTGATTCATATGTTGGTGCCTTGCTTTGCAAGATTGTTGATGACCGTGCTGTGCTTGAGGTGAATACCAAATAATTCATCAAATTATTCTGCAACTTTAGTATATTGACTGTGTTCTTTCTTGCTTTCTCAGGACGAAGCTCGTCTGAGAGAAGTGCTTAGGTATGCAAATGCTTGTGGAGCCATCACAACAACAAAGAAAGGAGCAATTCCAGCTCTCCCTACAGAGTCTGAAGTTCAGAGTCTCCTGAAAGGAAACTGATTAGCAAATTGTCTGGATTTTTAGGATTTCACGTTTTAGTTTCTTTGTTGGCTTTTTTTTTTTGTTTCTTCTGCTTTTCGCTCTGTGTTCTTGTACCAGAGAACCGTTCTATTCTATTATGAATCCCCTTTTATTCCACATTCAAGGGTTTTGGGTTACTTTGATGAATAACAACTCTTTACCAAGTTAAGTGAACTGTTTGAAAATGTGAAAGCCTTAAAGAACAATTGCTTGAGGATAACATTCCGAAACTTGTAAATCCAATGATCTCCAAATGTGTTTGCATTCTTCCCACCTCGAACTCATCCTCTCTAGAAATGTTTCAGCCCACACTTCCTTGCTACCTTCCATACTCAGATCATATGGCACCGAAAAACTGCAAGTCAATTCCCAAATCACTTGGTTATTTTCACAGATGTTTTGTTGCGTAGGCAGCATAGTCACAAATCTTATTTTGAAGGTCTTACCTTGTTAGCTCTTCTAAGTGAGAGTCCTCGGTGGTAGCGTTCCTGGTTGATCTTAGAGTTAGACATTACAGCAATAATTAGAAACTAAAGTTACAAATATACAGCCAACCTGCATACTAGAACTTTGAATATGCGGAGGGATTTAGTGGATAGGTTGTAGATTGCTTCTTCTATGTGGTCTGTGCCGAATAGATACACAACCGGATAGTCAAGAAGCCATCTGAAAAGAACGATTGAACATTAACTTCATGGCGTGATAAACTAAGATAATCTGATGGTGGTTGAATTTTCAAACGGATTCGAAAGTTACCCGTTTAAGGTTGGGATTGTAACTTTAGTGTCTTGTAAACAACAACTAAGATCAATGCATAAAGAAGACTGAGAAGAGTTGGCCTCATCAAGTGCTGTAGTGGAACCAGTATTGCTGTCATCTAAAGGAAATCTCAAAGAGAATAGCTTCTGAATCGATCTAAGCTGCATCCCCAGATTGCTTTCCTTGCTTTGTTCTACCATCTTGATTCAAACAAAGGCAAAGACAAGATAAATCCAACGGGCATGAAAAGAGAAACCACTTAACAAATACACAAGCTTCATAAAAAGGAAAACCTTTGGAGGATCTTGTTCCAAGTCGATGAAGAATAACTCGGGTTCTGAATTCAAGCTGGAGCTTACAAACAAGGGCAGTCTTCTTACATTGATCAGGTATATCATATCCTCTATAACCATAACCTTCAGATCTTTAAAAACTGGTAAACCCTATAAGAAAAAAGCAGGAATCAAATCAGCTACAGATATAACTCAAGTACTAAGGTGCTTGAAGAAGAAGTAGAGCCTAACCTCTCGGATAAGCTCAAGAAGTGATAGCAAGCGATTCTGTAGCTCAGGCATCTTTCCACCATAGTCAATCATCACAACTGGTCTCATTCCCGTGCATAATGCCAGAACATCTGGTCCAAGAAACCCCATTTAGCATCGGTTACAGATTCAAGTATGTGACAACCAATTGAGATCATACTAGAGTTTATCTTATAATGCTAAAGTTCAAATTTTTTCATTTTTTAATAGGGAGTGGAAGTGATAAACCCAGAAAGCCAATTGGACAAAGTGACTTCATTCATTGGGATCTTAAACAAAGCAATCAAAGCACCATCAAACTTAAGTCAGGTTCAAAATGAGATCTAAAGAATCAGTTTTGTCCCAAATTGAATTATGAGTCTCAAAGAGTCGCAAAACAAAAAAAAAAGTGGAATCCGTGAGACCTATTTCGAGGCGGCGTTTGGAAGTGATCTTGAGTCGCCATTTGATCTGAGAGAGACAAGAGCTCAGAAACTGAAGTAGTTCCTCAGAGCTTGGAACCTCCATATTCGCAGAAAAATTGAAGCTTTTTTCTTCTTCTCTATCCGAGACTCAGTGACACACGCTTTCTCTTTCTTAAGAAATATTCAGCACAGACCCTAAACTTTTAAGTTTTCTCATAAAACACCCTGAATTTTCCCTATTATGATACACACGTGTCATGTTTTCACTGGAAAGGTGATGGCGAAGAACAACCTATGGTCACACGTGCGAACCAAATCTTTCGTTATTTTTCCACATTGGATCTAATTCACTTTTGCAATTCACCGGAACTTAGCCGACGACGCACTGATCAAATCAACCGGAGAAGCAAAGCTATAGATCTACTATCTCCTTCACAGTTGCTTTCAGGTCTGTGTTCATCTTCGTTGTTACCAATTCTTGATTGTTCTTCCTTGTTACACTTTTTGAGTTTTCTTGTGTGTTTATCTTCGTTTTTTCCGGTTCAAATAATGGGATATTTCCTGTCGAAATCTGTATTCCATGCCCATGTTTAGTCACGGATAATGTCGGAAAACCCTAGGCTAGCAGCAATGTCGTATTTTCTGGTTTGCTTGGTGAATTCTGTGTAGGAAATATAGAAAAAAGAGTCGATAAAGAGAAGAAATTGTTGTGATTTAGCAAGAGATAGATCAAATAAATACATAGACATGGGATACAATTTATGGTTTCTTGGGTGTTTGTGATATCTTGATTGTTGTTGATGCTTATGGAGTTTATAATTAGTCAAGTTATTAACGGTAAGCTCTTTGTGTTGGTTTTGTTTAAATGTCAGAGATGTATAATAACATGGGACCCCAGCCTGGAATGCCAATGCCTCAGGTTAATCCTCAGCCTAGCCCATTTGGGAATCCGTTCTCTGGACCTGGCTCTGGACTTATCCGGAGTGGCTTGGGTGCTTATGGGGAGAAGATTTTCGGATCTAGCTCTGAGTATGTGCAGAGCAACGTAAGTTACTCCTGTCACTCTTAGTTTTTTTCAGTGTGTTCATTACTTGGCGTTTTCATTTGTTTTAACCGGTTGAAATTTAACAGATAAGTCGCTACTTCTCCGATCCCCAATACTATTTTCAAGTGAATGACCAATATGTGAGGAACAAGTTGAAGATTGTTCTACTTCCGTTCCTTCACAGGGTAAGGCTCACTTTTTTGTATTCTTTTTTTCTTCGTATTTGGGGTCTTTCTCATATGATTTTTGCTGCGACCTCAGGGACACTGGACTAGAATATCAGAACCAGTTGGGGGTAGACTTTCATACAAGCCTCCGATATACGATATAAATGCACCAGACTTATACATTCCGCTTATGGCCTTTGGAACTTACGTTGTTCTTGCTGGTTTGTCACTAGGACTCTATGGGAAGTAAGTTCTTTATTTTATTTTGTATCTTTTTTTGTATGTCTTTTAGAACGCCTTTTTTCACCCTTGTGGTGAATCTGAATTTTCTAGGTTTACTCCAGAAGCTCTCAACTGGCTTTTTGTGAAAGGGATGGTTGGCTGGTTTTTGCAAGTCATGCTGCTGAAGATAACATTGCTTTCACTTGGAAGCGGAGAAGCACCCCTCTTGGATATTGTGGCATATGCAGGCTATACTTTCACGGGCCTTTGTCTAGCTGTTCTTGGCAAGATAATCTGGGGATACTCTTACTATGTTTTGATTCCGTGGACCTGCATATGCACCGGGGTTTTCTTAGTGAAGACAATGAAGCGAGTTCTCTTTGCAGAATCTAGGAGTTATGTCTCAAGCAGGCATCACTACCTCTTGATCTTTGTGGCTTTAGCCCAGTTTCCACTTTTGATCTGGCTTGGTAACATTAGTGTGAATTGGCTCTTTTGAAACACATTACGTTTACATTGTTGTGAAAAACACCTCTGAGGTTATGTAGCAGAATTTGGAATGTCCTCCTGATGGATATATGGTAGTTGAGCTTTTTTGGTTTAGACTTCTGTATGTCAAACATCAATATGGTGAAAGAAAAGTGTTATCTCAAATACACATCTCTCTTTTTATCCTCTTTTATGAATGTTACTTTTCATAGACTACATTTCTACCGTGATTAAAACCGAACAAGGACATGAACTTTGTTGTGGTAAGTATGATTTCTAACAGAAACTGCTTCCCATGCGCATGATCTCTACTCCAAGCTCCCCAGCATTGCATTGGTGCATTGTGATTTTGGCTTTTGTGTTCCTTGGCAGATTTGAACATTCTTGGGACATTGCAGACAGTTATTCGATAGGTTTCCTCTGATCTGTTTGGAAATCTTTTGAAACTCCTCAGGAAGTGTACCTGACAGGTAGTTGTTCTCCAAGTATAAGCTTCTCCATGAATTCTCCAGTCTTTTCCCATAAATTCTAGGAATATCGCCAGAGAACATGTTGCTTCGTAGATTGATATCCTTTAGGTTTTCATAAGTTGCCAGGTTCAGCGGAAGGTGACCCTGTAAATGGTTTCCTTCAGCATCAAGCATGCGCAGGCGTGATCCTGTAACTTTAATAACCTCTATGGATATGAACTGGTTAAAAGACACATTGATGCGAGAAATTTCAGGGAATGTTAGGATTTCATGGCCAACGGTTCCTGAGAATCTGTTCTGGCTCACATCTAATGACACAAGCTGTTTCAGCCTATGCAAGGGCGATATACGTCCTCCAAGGCTATTGAAACATAGTGATAGAGTTCTTAGACTTGGGGGAAGCTTAGGAAGCATTCCATAAAGATGATTGTTACCGAGTTCTAATACTTGTAGCTTCCACAAGCCGTTGAGCGCAGGTATTCTTCCATCGAGATGGTTGTTTGATAGGATCAGGTGAGTCAAACTTCTCAAGGCTGAGATCCTTGGCGGGATTTCGCCGGCGATACTGTTTTTGGACAAGTCTATGGTTTTGAGCTCCTTGAGCCGCGTGATTTCCGCGGATATGTCTCCGGTGAAGAAATTCTCCGCTAGAGAGAGTTTGGTGAGTTTCCTGAGCTGGAACACAGTTTCTGGTACTGGACCGCGGAACCTGTTCTTGTTGAGGCTAAGGACAGTGAGCTCAGTTAGGTTTCCTACTTCATCAGAGAGGAAACCGTCATAACCGTCATCATCAAGATCGATCTCTATAACCCTGCTCGTCGTGTTCTCCAGAGGGAAAGAACACATAACTCCCAAGAACGTCCCTGCCCCTTCACATGGGTCTTCAGAGAAGTCCCATGTGCTGAGGTAAGAGGATGGGGAGATGGAACTTGGATCAACGCTGCGTATTATAGACTCTAAAGCTTGAATATCGGATCGAAGAGTGGCTGAGAGAACTGATGAAGGGACAATAAGTGAAAGAAGTAGTAAGAACAAGGACATGATGAGTACTAAGGAAGAAGAAGAAGATGGTTGTGTTTTGGCAGCCATTGTTATGGTTCTTCTTTAAGAGGAAAGATGGAACCATTTCTTTTTAAGTGAGTATTCTTGTAAGAAGAAGAAGAAGAAGGTCGTGTTGAACCTAATTGGGATCTAAGAGCATAATTATTGGTAGTATCTTAGAAATAAATCTTAGAAATATTTAAGTAATATATTTGTAAAAGTGATAGTTAAGATATAGTATTTTTGGGTTAAGATTTTTGTGTGATTAATGGTAGATTCTTAACATGTGGTTCTTAAAAAAAAATATTAATAAAAAAATAAAATTTATAATTATAAAAAATTTAATAATTGTTGCAAATTAAAAAAATTAAAACATACATGAGATACAATAAATAACATAAAAACACAAATGTTTTAAACTTAATTTCTGGTTTTCCAGAGGCACGTGTATATTGTCCTTTTCAAGAGGTAGAGCAATTCTTCCACTCCCAATCCAATTCTTCGGAAAAAAACGAAGCAACTGACTTTTTTTCTTGTTTTGTTTTTTCTTCTCCCACTCATATCGCGACACATGTGTGCTTCTTAACATAAGAAAAATATCTTAGTTAAGATACAATCTTAGTTGGTTTGATTAATTATAATAGTTTTTAATGTTAAGATTTGGCTAAGATTTGGTCTAAGATATACCGATATTCATGCTCTAACATGCTTCAAAGGTTTTTGGGTATGTTATTGGTGAGATTCACATCTTTGGTGCCTCATCATTAATAAATTATATATCAAACCAAATATGGACTGACTCACATTTAGTTTTTTTTTTTCTTCTTCTATATATGTTTTAAGCATGCAAAAGCATTTAATAATTAAAAATAAATTTTGTTTATGTTTCTAAATGTATTGTCAACAGATTTTTAAATGGAATTTCAATTTTCTCAATTCAAATCCAGTTTATTCTTATTCTTAAGTTACGGAAAAAATACAAATAATAAAATCAGAATGGATATCTTTTATCTTATAAATCACAAGTCATCTGACCAGTTAGAATTATTATTGCCACATGTAATTTTAAATTATTATTAACTTTAATCGAAATAACTAAATAAAATGTCGACAAAAAGAAAAACAAAATAACTGTATCATCGTGCCTCACTTCCCCATCCCACGAGTCCATGATCCATCTTCCTCGCCCACGATCCCTCTTCAAAAAAAAAATTATGATCCTTAATTATATAAATCTGTCTCCAGATCATCTGTTCATCATCGTCGTGTACTTGTGTCAGTGTGACCCTCATGGGTTAATGTTAGATATCAAATATCTCGCACAGTTGCACTGCCCCATTTTAGATTTCTAGGTTATTTTCCTCATCTGCTTATTTTTCATTCATTTAGATTTCTCCGGGTCACGTCTGGCTGATTTTTTACTTCATCGTCGTATTTCTCCTCATCAAATCTGCTATACATGGAAGAAGAAATCTGATTCGTTTTGTGTCTTCGTAATTTTATTCAGATATCTTGGAGGAGAGAAACGGATTCAACGATCCTCCGAGAGAAATTCTAGGTGACTTTGATTTCATCGTTGCTTGGATTTCGAATTTTCACTTCTAACTGGATACTCTCTGTCTGAATTTTTAAGAAGGTAGATTCACATTCTTTTACTATTTTTAGTTTGTAGTTTATGTTTTCATATTTTTATTGGTTTAACTGTGTGTTTGGCTATTGTGCATCCTAAGGAGTTGAAAGAGTGAAATTGACCAGTGCTCCACATCTTGGATTTGTAAGGACACTTACGAAGACGTACGCAGCACATATAAGATTAATCTTGAGACGGAGATATTGATCACTAGGGATTATGTTTCCTCCTTGCAAAGTTTGAGGAAACAGTATTAAAATAAAGGTACTGAAATAGTTTTCGTGAAATGCACTTACACAATTTCACTCTAATTTAAACACCAATCAATGAACAACGATTCTTAACGAATTGATCTTTTTACTTTACTCTCAAACTTTGCAGAAGTAGTATGACTTCAAGTAGGAGATTGATTCCGAAGGGATTTCATGGAGTTGATTCCAAGAAAAAAAGAGAGGCACTTAGAGAATTTGGCCAGATAGAACACCTTAATCTTTTAGAAGGCTAGAATGATCAATGGCTATGCATCTGTCAATGAAGAGGGCCAATAAATGGTCAAAAGTTAACAGAAAGAACAATGTCCTAATACGCGGCTAAAGTGATGGAGCTTTGTCCGATAGACATGGCCCAAGTAAATGAAGAGGATTTATTAGTAAAATAAAGCTTGAAAAGAAAAAAAAGACTTGCTGAAAAAGGACTCTTAACATCTTAACTTCACCACATCTTTTGAGTACAAACACGAGATGATAAAGTTTGAGGCTATGGAATTAAGGTCAACTCAGTTATTTGAAGTTTGAGTTAATTATATGAAAGACTTCCGGTGCTCGCACCGGGTATAATATTAGTATGATATATTCGACTATTCTTTTTGATTAATTTAGATTAAAAATAGTACACAAAAATCACAACCAAAGTGATACTAACTAATGGTTATAAATTTTTTTGACGAATTTCCTATTCAAACTTTTGCAAAATTCACTTGAATGGCATGTGTCAGATTGAAATTAGGAAGAGTTAATTTAGAATTCAATCTAGAAAAATCACAAAATTAGAGGTGATCATTTGACCAATTGTCTAAGAAAAGACAATTGAAACATTCCACAAAACTTTTAATTTTAGTAATTCCCTATATATAGAAGTTTCATTTTACATATAAATACGTTGATGACTTAACAAAAAAAAACAAAAAAAAAAAACAAAAACAAAAACAAGAACCATTTAAAAGCTTATTAAGCACAATGGCCATCGAAAAGAGAACCATGATTGCCTCCTTCATCATCGTTCTGATGATGGTAACGATGATCGCTACCAACGTTGAGGCTCGGAATCATGTCAAAATCAAGCCACCAGCAAACCCCAAGTTCTTCTTTTTCTAAATTGATTGATGGCTCATAATGTTTACAAGAAATAAATGGTTGCTTCAACAAGGAGCTTCAAGCCTTCAAGCATTGGTTAAACTAATGTTTATTATTTATATATGTTCACTTTCATCCTCTTATTTGTTTTAGTTATGGGTGAAATTATTTAAATAAAATGTTATAAAAATTTATATTTATACTTGAATCAAATAAACTAGTTTCAAATTTCAATCACAAAGATTTATTTTATGTTGTATCTAGAAAATTAATAACATTGTGCAGATATCAATAATTTTTAGTTTTAAAAAGAAATAATATCCTTAACTAAATTGATAATATTAATAAAATTGTGTTATTGAGTTTGTCTTGTGTTTCGATATATAAGGGTTGGTTCGTCCTTACCAAAAAAATAAATAAAAGGGTTGGTTCGTTTCACTGTAACTTGATTTATGAATAAACAACAACGTGAGAATTAGAATACACAAAATTACACAATTTTAAAATTATGGTCGTTACTCGCTGGAACACGTTGCCTATTAAAGTTTAAGGATGGGTTTAATAATGATGAAACGAACATAGTTTTGAATATTGACAAATTGTCATTGTTGTTCATCGATAACGATTAACGACAGTAGTAAAAACAAACATGCATACTACATGATTATACTTTCTTTAAGTAGAAGACGAACATTCTTTTTTATTCTTTTGTATATTAACAGAAGACGAACATTAATCTGTAATCCCAAATTCCCAATAAATTGACAAATGATCTACCATGTTTAAAATTAAATTTGTACGTCATTCTTTTGGTTATCATGTAGCTGATTTGATGAACTTTAAAAATTGTAAACGGCTTAGAACATCATGTGATGATAAGTTAGACGTGAACATAAAAGAATAACATGTTAGGGACCAAAGTCATATCTGAAGAACAAAATCAAAAGTAAAATTTCTTTTGACAATACTACTAGCTAGCAATAATATCATATCATTGTCATATTTAGCTATTTTTTCCACAAAAAAAAAACATTATTGCTATTTGACAAACTCAACAACCTCGATCCTATAACATTTATTCCAGATTTTTATAGCTGGACAAGAAAAATTATGGTGATAGGCCCAATGGCTATTAAGACCTAGGCCCAGTACCACAAGTCAAGCCGACACAGACAAAAATTGGGTTCAATGTTTTTTTCTTTTTTTTTTTGTCTGATTTAGATTTGGTGAAAAGACGAAACTTTCTCCTGAAAAAAAATCTGGAACAAGTTAGCGCGAACACGAAGAATCGAATCAATTCCCGAGGAAGAAAAGTTGTCTATTTTATCCTTCTGGATACTTTGGTCGGTGGTTTTAGCTGAGAAGGTCACTGCTTTGAGTTTAATCGGCCAGCAAAATTCCTTATTCTCAGATCTGTCAATTGCCGATTTGGAGGAGGGAATTGAGCATTGGGTTTAGCTTCTTAAGTATGGGAAGACCCTTGTTTTACGATATCATTGAGAAACCAGCAACGAGCTGCATCGTAACGATATGCAGTGTAATCTGGTTTGTGATTCAGAAGAAGAGTATTGGGTACTCTCAAGTTGGATTGAGTTACGAGACTGCAATCGAAGGGCATTACTGGAGGATGATTACCTCTGCTTTATCACATATTAGCGTCTTGCATCTTGTGTTTAATATGAGTGCTTTATGGAGTCTTGGTGTTGTGGAACAGCTAGGTCATGTTGGTCTTGGCACTGCTTATTACCTTCATTACACTCTTGTTCTTGTTGTGTTCTCTGGTGTTTTGGTTATTGGGATCTACCATTTGTTGATTGCTAGATTCAAGATTGATTATTTCCGGAGAGTTACAGCTGTTGGGTACTCTTGTGTTGTCTTTGGTTGGATGACGATTCTCTCTATGAAGCAACCTTCTTCAAAGCTGGATCTTTTTGGGCTTCTTTCTCTTCCCATTAGCTTTGCGCCATTCGAGTCACTCATTTTCACTTCGATTATTGTTCCACAAGCTAGTTTTCTGGGACATTTGTCGGGAATCCTGGTTGGCTACGCCATTTCGTGGGGTTTGATTGGCGGGATGAACAACTACTGGGCTCTTACTATGCTTGGTTGGATCGTAGTTGTCTTTGTTTTCAGTTTGAAGAAATCGGGTGCTTATGATTTCAGTTTCTTGGAGATCGAATCGCTGACTGATGCTTCTTTACCCTCAGTGCGGTTTATTGGAAATGGCCGCACCTTGCAAGCCAGTGCAGTTCCTCTTAGTGGAGTGGAGGTTGTCTGAATTTAGTTCATGGTCATATTGTATTTGGGGAACAACATCGAGGTAGTGCCGTAGTAGATGAAGACTGAGAGTTCCAACCAAATTTAAGAGATCCTCAAGGCTTGCTTGAACTGCATAACGTGGTGATTGGGGAAGGATTCCTCGTCTAATCAAGCTAGTGTTGTTTAGGCATCATTACAGATGAATATGACGCAGTCAATTATTTTGTCATGTGATTGATGTATAGTTGCGAAAGGGTCCCATGTCTTACCTAAAGATTCCATCCGCTAGACATGTTTCCTCATTTGTGAGCTTCCCATTTATTTCATATGAAAGCATGCTACCAACAGTCTTATATATTGAATTTGTGAAATAGCACGTTGATATATTATTTGCACTCTCCCAATTTCACAAGGTAATTAGATGAAGTAGTCTGCAGGTCTCTTGGACTAGAGCAGTATCTTCTTTTGTTATTAGTTTCCATCTTCTGTCATTTCCTTGTTATATATATTCCAAAAAAAGAAGGTAAGAAAAGGGTAGAACAATTACCAATTCACAGTTTCAAGTTTTTATTTATGAGCACTAGTTGGTTGGATGATTATTTTGAAGCTCTATCTCAAACAGAATCATGGCAATTGTATTTGATATCAGAGTAATCTAACTTGATCAACTTTTGACTAGTTGTTTGTTTCCATTGAACCTACTTTCAACCCAATTTTATTCACAAGATCTGCATTTTTCCACAACACATTGCTTATATAATCTGTACATTGATTAGGTGAATCTGATCTTACTTTCTGGTCCACCTCTAAGCACTTTCAAATGGAGAAGAAAGGCCAGTATGGTACATATGACTCATTGGTGACTCATCATCCGATCCTCTGTATCATTGCTTTATCTGTAATTTTCATAGCAATCGACCCCTTTCACATGAGTCCAATTGGGGGTCGTGAGTTCAAACCCGTGAAGCATGAGGTTGCTCCATACAAGCAAGTTATGGAAAGCTGGCCAAGAGACAACCTTAGTCGACTGGGTAATCATGGGAAACTGGAGTTTGTGGACCAAGTCTTTGGTCCAGAGTCATTAGAGTTTGATAGTTTAGGTCGTGGTCCATACACAGGGTTGGCTGATGGAAGAGTGGTTAGATGGATGGGTGAAGCAATTGGATGGGAGACATTTTCCGTGGTAACATCAAAATGGTAAAAGATTATATATTCATCACTTCTTTTATGTGCAGAGAGTTTTGTTTCAGTTTTTCTTATCGATGTTGTGTGTTCATGAGAATTAGGTCAGAGAAAGCTTGTGTGAGAGGTGTGGATTCAACAACAAACAAGCAATGGAAGCACGAGAAGCTGTGTGGGAGACCTCTTGGTCTGAGATTTCATAAAGAGACAGGAAATTTGTATATTGCAGACGCTTACTATGGTCTCCTTGTGGTTGGTCCTGAAGGAGGGATCGCTACGCCTTTAGCTACTCATGTGGAAGGAAAGCCTATACTCTTTGCCAATGACCTTGACATCCATAGAAATGGCTCCATCTTCTTCACTGACACCAGCAAAAGATATGACAGAGCGTAAGCAAACTCTCCTATTATTGCTTTGTATGTCAATTCCAACCGTTTATTGTATGATATAAGAATTATACTTGTATTTTGTAGGAATCATTTCTTTATCTTACTGGAGGGAGAATCAACAGGAAGGCTTCTAAGATATGACCCACCTACCAAAACAACACACATTGTGCTGGAGGGTTTGGCTTTTCCCAATGGAATTCAACTCTCTAAAGACCAATCTTTCCTTCTCTTCACCGAAACAACCAATTGCAGGTATGACCAAATAAATGACCGTTAACTTTGTGTTTATTTATCTGTATCTATCATTCATTTCTCTTCATCAATATGTGTATGACAGATTGGTGAAATACTGGCTGGAGGGTCCAAAGACAGGTGAAGTTGAGGTGGTGGCAGATCTCCCGGGATTCCCAGACAATGTAAGAATAAACGAAAAGGGTCAGTTTTGGGTTGCAATAGACTGTTGCAGAACACCGGCACAAGAGGTTCTTACAAACAACCCTTGGATAAAAAGCATCTACTTTCGGTTGCCAATACCGATGAAGCTGCTGGCGAAAACGATGGGGATGAGAATGTACACTGTGATATCGAGATTCGACGAGGAAGGTAAGGTCTTGGAGGTGCTTGAGGATAGACAAGGGAAGGTAATGAAGCTTGTGAGTGAAGTGAGGGAGGTTCAAGGGAAGCTTTGGATTGGAACAGTGGCTCATAACCACATTGCCACTTTACCTTATCCTTTGGCGAATCAATGAAGAACCTTCGCTGTGTAGTTCTTAGCTTCTGGAAGTTGTGTTCTTAATATCCTCTTGATTTACATTCATGAGGGTAGAGAAACAATATAAACAAATGGATGACTGAACTAAATCATCTCTCTGTAACTACTAAATTATCTTCGTTTTGATTCAAGTTCCATTGGACCGGTTTGCCTTTTGTTGATATTATGTGAACTGATGCATATATTCCTCATGAAATTATCTTTCTTTCTTCAGTCTCATTTTGTTTTGTTTTTCATTTTTTTAAATCATTGAAATACAAAATAAAAGAATTTTATTACTAAATGACCAAATGTCGATTATTAACATGAGAGCAAGATTTACATTTGTAAAGATGATTTTCATTGAGATTATATAAAGCAAGAAGCAAACAAGTTTGTCGAGACTCACTCAGAACATGTGTACGTTCAATCTTTATATTTTCACAACCTTTCATGGTTTTTAACAAGCTTCAGTCATCACACATACTAAACAGCTTTTTTCCATATAAATTTGTTCAAGAAGCCATAATGTAGAAGGAGACATCACATCAGAAGACCCTAATACCCAATTAAACTCATCACGGTGCGCTTATGCAAGAAGAGTAGAAAACAGAAAGCACTTGATCAGATACCAAAGAGCAAGAATAGTGAATCTCACCAACAGATTAAGGGATGTGGAGCTTCTCAAGGGCCTTGAACAGTCGAAGCATCTGATGGCAGTTGCTGCTGTTGCTGAATCTGTTGAAGAAGGTTAGCCGCAAACTGCAGAGTAGATTGATATCGCTGGTTCTTATCGACCTCACCATCTGACGTACCTTGTCCAGCTCCAAGGAGCAAAGGCTGGAGCTGCTGCTGTGCTTGGCTAGACGGATCCAACTTTTTCATGTTCGCTGGTGGTGGCATCGCAATTTGAGATTGGGAAGGATTTGCTTTATGCGCTTGATTATTTGTCAGACAGTGATAATTACCTTGCTGATAGCCATGCAAAACAGGATTCTCAGCTCCAGGGACCGGTATGTAGTTTTGGTTAAGCATGGGAGCTTCAGGCTGATATTGCTGTCTCAAGGGTTGAGAAACAGCTTGATGTGAACCTTGAGAGTACATTGCATAATTACTCGATGGAGGAGTAGGTAACGGAGCTTGCTGAGGTGTGCTAACAAATGGTGCTTGATATTGCATACCACCATGGACCATTCCACTGGAGTAGCTCGGTGTGCTTGACACCGGAGGATAACGCATCGGAGGAGGAGGAAGAGGGGGAGGTGGGGGTAGTTGCCCCATCGGATTGTATTGATTGCCTAATTGTTGGAATGATAGATTTGATGGGTCAGAGACCGTCGATTGATCTCGATTCCAAGCTTGTGATGGAGCTTCTCCACTGGATAGTCCAACGGACTGGTGACTTTCAGAGGCAGTAGGTTGAGAAGTTGTGGGGAGCAAGGAGGCCAGAGCGGCTAATAGCTCAGGCGTTAGACTAACCCCAGCTTGAGGCATTGCAGTATTAGGTACAGAAACAGATTCGCTCAAAGGACCAAGCAATGATTTTGGAGAAGGCTTTGATTCTTTCTGCATACCTCTATTATATTCAAACACAGCTCGGTCTTCTCTAGCAGCGAACAAACCATTATTGGCATTGGCAGGCAAACTCCGAGATTGACCCATATAAGATTGAGGAATGGGATAAGGTTCTTGTTTATACGATGCTGCGGCAGGAACCTGTGGTGGGGGCAACTTGAGAACAACACCATATAACCGTTCTGGACCCGACACTTTGAGCACATCAGTTAAGAAATCTGATGGAGGAACCAAAAATAAAGTGGTTCCATCGTCTAATTTGGCCACACCTGCTCGATTTTTTGAACCAAGGTAGCAGAGGAATTCAGTATAAGATGCGAAATCGTCTTCCCTGTCTGGTAAGAAGAAAACGATTTCAAATCCAATGGCTTCGGTGTAATGTTTGGCAAGCATATCCAAACCCGTTCTTGCTGAACAATTGACGATCTCAGGGCTATTAACCATTCGAAAAACCAAGAATCAGCAATCGAGGGCAGTGTTATCAATGAAGTGAATCAAAACTACATCCAGTTTGAGATCAGAAAAGTAGACTAATACACAAATGACCTAAAATATCATATCTAAAAGAATGAACAGATCGATAACGTCTAACTAATGAACTACAAAACTTCCTATACACGGAAAAGCGGAAAGGCAAAAGTGTTACTCACAGTTCAGTTTCAGTCCCCTTTCCGAAAGGTACACAACGAGCACGACAAATAGTAGTTCCACCTTTGGCAATGATTCCTCTCCAAATGAAATCAGGATCAGGGAAACCACGGCCGGACCTGGCTGCAACTGACGCACACCCGTATGTCCTGTCAAACCCAGTGACGCGATCATCTACACTCATTGAAGGAAAACCATCCACTGATCCATCTCTACGGGTTCTTTTGGGTTCTCTATCCAACTGAGCAGGATCATATCCTTCCCAAGAACCACGGTTTGACCTAACAGGTAGCATTGTATGTGGTGCAAGAGACGGGAGTATTCCAGATTTTCCAGCTTCAGTTGGAGATGGCCTCCCCCAGCTTTCTTCTGTACCAACCACATCACTATATTCTGGACCACTATGTGAACGTTCAACGCTTCCTCGAAAGGGCCTCATAGAGCCAAAAAACCCACTAGAATGCGGTGACGAGATGAATGGAGGATCATTGACGAACATCTCAGGCCTTGATCGTTTGGCACCAGAATAAAAACTGGTATCATCTCCTCGTCCAGGGGGAATGTCATCATTCGAGTACATTATTGTGATTCTTGGATCATTGAGTAACCTTCCATGTAGTCCTTCCTTAGCACAACGAGCTTCCTCAATGCTTCTAAATTCCACAAGTGAGAAATGCCTTGATGGGTAACTAATACATCTCTCAATCTCACCAAAGAGTATCATACAATTGTGTAGTGTTTGCTCGTCAATCTGAACAGAAGGAGGGTATCCAATCCTCAGTACATTACTTGGTCGGCGTTCTCCTTCAGCATCTCCAAATGAGTGAGGATACTGTCAAACATATAGCAATTGAACTTTAGAAACTTGGAAAATACAAAAGGTTTGTACTAAACTCTAACAATCATGAAATGTCAAAAGCCAGTATCGGTATACATATCACCAGAAAAAAAAAGACTTTCTAGCAATAAGCCTAACCTGTTGTTTAGTACTCAAACTGCCATCCCTGCCATCATTAGAGCCAGGCCATGGTTCCTAAAGAGAGAGAATAATGTTAGTTGGTTATGAAATGATAAAATATCAAATGGATTGTGCAATGTAAGATGTTGTAAGGAAAAAAGAATAGAATGAAACAAGTAAATATCCTAGATGCACAAGAAAGTTTCCAGCCATGGAAGTCATATGCAACTCATGAAACTTATAGCACTCATTAGGAATTTCTGACTAAAGGATTACTAAAGCATATTCATATGTACACAGGACCGACAAATGGATGCATACTTTTTGTGGCCCTTGTGACCGAAGAAAATCAACTCGCAAATAGCTATTTCCCATTCTCTTTCCGTTCATGTTCTTTGCCTCTATAGCATCTTCCATGTTATAAAAGTCAATAAAAGCCGTCTTGCGTTCCCTAAGAAACCTGAAATCTTCGATTTTGCCAAAGTTCCTGAACTTTGCCTCCAGGTCATCCTTTGAAACACTCGGGCTGATTCCACCCACCCAAAGACTCTTACAAGGCTTTGCCTGCAAACAAGTAAGTCCCATAAGAAGTCTATACGATATTTCATAATATCGAGATACGTACATAGTCGTCATGAAGAGAACTTTTAACATATAAGACACTAAAGAACACCATTGTCTTCAATTCATATCGTCTGCTACCCTAAACACACAACGCGACTTCAGAAGAACCATTCCTTGATTACAGGGAATCAAGCCCACCTCAAATCAGTAAGACCTTAATAATGTTTGTAAGGAGTCCCTCTGGTGGTCATTCAAGATTTGCGGGTAAATACACCAATTCTTCGACCCTCTATTGAGATTTGATGGAAAAACAAGAAAAGCAGAGATGCTGGTAGATTTTACGCACTGGTAAATAACAAAACCATCAAGTCATCAACCATGCGGCTGTAACCTTTTCTATTACATCTCTGATGGGTGATGGCTAAAGGAGCTACGAGGATTGTATCACCCCGTGAATCCCATTCACTCATGTCGATTAGTGCTCGACAAGCTTTTCACAGTCTGCACATTTTCCAACTCCCCAGTTATAACTCGAGATCCGGAGGGACCATGGCTAAGGACACTGATATGTTTTGCTGGAGCTCGATACGCTAACTTTCGAATTTACAATGCAACATTGGTCTTAAGAGTTTCAGGTGCCTTTGCGTCTACAAGAAGGCTGCAAAAAGTCAAACTTACTAGGAATTTTGAGTTCATACTCAATCTTGGGAGGATTGACATATAGCAAAGTGTATCTGTGAAACGAGCCTCCTAAATCAGAGTACCCTAAAATTGCCTTGATGACATGGTAGAAAACCTGAGCAGAGTGACTTGCGACGAACAGCAAGCAACAGTTACGAAATCAATCTGGCTGCAGACCTATGAATTTGGATTCGGTCATAAACGAGAAAAAGAAGACGAGTTTGAAACACATTTGCTTTCTTTTTCGTGAATCATAATGTGGTTTTGGCGAAAACTCTTGCACAAAGTAATCGCTTGGAAGGGAATTTGATTAGCCGGTGACATTGAAAACGTTTATTCGGGTGGCGAAATTTTGTCGGTCCAAACATGAAATCCGCCACAAGACAAGCATGAACGTGGGTTCTAAATTTGATTGGGACAGTCACTACTAACACTAGATATATAACAATTTCTCGAACGAAAGAGGCATAAAGTTTACCATCAAAATCTGTTGAATCTAGAGTAAGAATCCCCAAAATCGATCTAACCATTAACAAACCATCAAATTTAAGAAACAAACTACAATTGAAACCAAACGTAACGCAGAGATGAGAACAAACCGGTCGAGCGAATTCGATCTTAATCAGACTCCCATTCAAGTCAGCACCTTGAAGCGCCTCTTTCGCCGCCACAGCTTCTTCAACACGTCTGTAGTAGATAAACGCGAAGCTACGGGAAGAAAACGCCGTGATTCTATCAATTTCACCAAATCTTCCAAACAAATCGGCTATATCGGATTCTGTAGTATCGGTTGTCAAACTACCGACCCAGAGATTGTTCGATTGAAATCCAGATCCGTTTGGTTCACGACCTATGGAAGGCTTCATCGCCAGTCTTCTTCGACTCCCGTGAAATGGAAAACAAGAATCCCCAATGAAGAATTGCCCTGTGATAGCGACTGAGCGCTGTGACGTTAATCTGAAAATCTTTCAATTCTGATTAGAGGTTGGAAGGTTGAAGACGAAGGCAAAGAACGACTGCTATTCACCAAAACGTCGCCGTTTAATTCCACCATATTAATCCTTTTCAAGCAACTTTTATATGTTTCTGGTTAACTTGAAATGCGTGCGTGATGATTATCATATTTCAGTTTCAACTGGTCATGAAGATTATCGGAAATTTGAAGACAAAATTGATGTGCCTGCTTTCTTCTCAGAGAAGAGAGGTTCCAGATCTTTGAGGCCATATATATTACTAACCAAGTCGATAGCAAAAAAAAAAAAAAATACAAACCCAGCTCATAATAGTCTTTTGAAGTTATAACAAAGAAACCCAAGGGAAGTCTGAATCATAATAGTAATTCAAGAGACACAAGAAAGAAAAACAATCTCTCTTAAGAGAAGGGTATATAAAACCATGATAGATCCAAATTTCAAAAGATCTTCAAAGGTCTTGCACACTCAAACCTGAAATCAAGAAATGGAGAATTCAACTCAGCTAAAGCAATTCCAACACATTACTAATGCAAAGAGATGCATGCGGACAAGGACCAACCAAAAAAACTCAGAACCTAAAAATGCCAATTTCTAAGACTATTATGATGAATGTGTGTGATAACAAGGTCATATATTAAGACTTCAATAGAATTATCAACACTATGCCAAATCCAACACTATTATGATGCTAGGGAGGGACTTTCAGGTGATGCACTACTCAAAGCTAGTAACACCCATCCCTATGCCAAAATCTAACAATGTAATGAGATAAGAGGGTTTCAAGTGTGTAATGTGTATGTAAAGAGAGAGAGAGAAGAGAGAGTGAACCTGGAGGAAGAGACTGCTTCAACTTATCAGCCTTCTCTTGGTCGAAGACACATAGTGTGTAGAGATACCTTGAGCACCTGACCTTGAACTTCACAATGTCCTTGCTTCTCTTGATCTTCACTGACCTTGCATCCTTCCTTCTCGCCGTCAAAAGGAAGTCCTTGATTTCATGGATTTGCTTCGGCTGCAGATTATCAAAATCAACATCCCATTTTCAATCAATACATATTCATAAACCCCAAAATGGCTCAACAAAGTCAAGAGATTCAAAACAAAAACTCTTAAACATTTCAAGAAGAAACCTAAACCAATAGACCAGTGACGAGCAAGACTCTTATCTACTTGATTATTAGAAACCAAACAAGAAACCCACTATAAGAGAATGATTACTTTCAGCTCAATCATGCAAACTTTACTCAGATCCTAGTCGTGAGAACATATAATCAAACATATAATAATAAGCTTCAATAATCTTCTTGACAGAATGATAAAAACTGAGAGACGACGAAAGTTTTACCATTGTCGGATCTGGTTATGTGCCTGCAACTTTCTTCCACTCAAGAGAACAAACAGCAAAAGGCAGAACCCAGCGTCTGGAAGAAATAGAGAACCCTAAATATGAAGAAAACCCTAGAGTCTCATACATAAGAATTTCCAAATATACCCTTTAAGGCCCATTAAGCCGGCAATTTGGCTATTGGGTTTAGTGGCCCAAGTTGTTTTGTTTTGCAAATTTCAAAAACTCAGGATTGACGGAGAAAAGGGTACAGTATTTAAGTCATTGTCTCTATTTTCCTATGATTTTCAACATTAGCGCCACTAAATGGTTTTTTCCCGCTCCACAAAAAAATCTCTTCTTTTTTCTCCAAAAGCACATAAAGCCCTAACCTCTTCGTCTCTCTCTCTCTCTCTCTCTTGCTCTGCAGTTTCGTATTCGAAATTGATTGGTTTCTCTAAATTATATATAATTACCTTCGATTCGATAACCCTTCTCTCTCTGAAATCGACTTCATTCTGAATCTCTGCTTCTTTAGGGCTCCTTGTTCGAAGGAATTAAATGTTTTATTCACATACGCTTTTGGCTCGAAAGGGTCCATTGGGGACGGTGTGGTGTGCCGCTCATGTGCAACATCGCCTCAAGAAGTCTCAGTACACCGCCGTCAACATCCCCGACACTGTTGGTACGTCTTTCCTCTCTTCAATTTTTGCTTTTTCATTGAAAGTTCGCATTTTTTTTTTTAAATCCCCTTTGATTTTATAAAGACAATGAGAATTTTTACATGGTCATTCACCAAATGTTACCCATTATAGTGTTTGAAATTCTCACCAAAAGTTAAAGCTTTTTACTTTTAGATAATTTTGATTCGTTATGCAGAGACTTGTTGATTAATTTTTGTAGATTTTAAAATTATGCAATTGGCTTTTGCAGATAATATAATGTTTCCTGAAGCACCATTGGCATTGAGATTGTCAGGTCACCTTCTATTTGGGGTTGTGCGAATATATTCAAAGAAAGTCGATTATCTTTACAATGACTGGAATCTCCTTAATACTTGGGTCGCTAAGGCTTTCGTTTCTTCTCAAGTTAACTTGCCTGAGGATGCGAGACAGGCGCCGCCTGAGTCTGTGACTTTGCCTCAAGCACTAAATTTGGATGAGTTCGACTTGGAAGATGACAGACTCGACATGTATTCATCTTTCTAGCTTTTATTGGAGTTATGATCTCTTATAAAGCTTGAGTGATCTTAACATTTTTATATTCTTTTCTTGTGAATAATAGGGAATTCGATAATCATACTCGGAGTGAGGAAGATATTACTCTAACAGGTACCTTTTACCTGTTTTTTATTTTTCCTTGGTTCTAGATGTTGTGTACCATGATTTCGAGGTATTTCTGATGTTGATGCTTATTTTGCAGATCAAATTCCTACTGGCATTGATCCTTATGTTGCTGTAACATTCGACGAGGTGAGATTACTGCTTTGATTCGGACTACTGGTTTTCATGTCTCCGAGCACTTGTTCTTTAACGAAAGGTTGTATGTCTTTCTTACAGGACATCATCTCAGAATCTATCCCGATGGATGTCGAGTGAGGCTCTTCATAGAGTTTTGATTTCCTCCACTACACCTTGCTCTTACTCTTCCTTATCTGTTTAGTTGATCTGCTCTTTTAATGTTGTTACCTCTTTTTATGATTTGAGCAGCCAATCAACAGAACCTGTGAGTGGGCATAACGGAGAAACTGATGTTGAAACGGCTCATGAGGCAGGACAAGACAATGAGCCAAGAGACTCCAATATTGCTTTTGATACTGGAACCTATAGTCCTCGTAACGTCACAGAGGAATTCCCTGAAGTCCAGGATCCTAGACAAAGTAACCTGACAGAAGAGATCAATCCCAATACCGAGAGAAACGATGCCAATTCTCCTGGAAATGTTCCCGAGATTGAGAAAAGGCGTGACGCTGGGCATGATCTAAGCCCCACTTCCCATCCATCATTTGCTGCAGAACAACAGAATATCAGAGTTGAACGCACTGAGTCTTTAGATGAAACTTTGAATGAGAAGGAACCCACTATCCCTAGTATTGATGAAGAAATGTTAAATTCTGGAAGGCATTCGGCGTTTGAGCTGCGCTCAGGATCTCCAGGTTCTGCTGGTTCTGAGGAAGAACGTGCAGATTTTGGTGAGTAAACAACATAGTCTGATCATTTCAAGCTTAACGACTACATTCTCTATCTTATTATTTATTTAAAACACTTTTTTCTTTATGTTAAGTGCATCCATCACCTCAACTGGTGCTTCAGCCATCTCCTCCTCCCCCACCACAAAGAAGGAAAAGGAAGAGGAAGAACTTTGATGAGGTCCATGTATTAACCAACAGGTGATAACTTTTCCGTTGGTTCATGTGACTTTGATTATTTCATTACTGATCAAAGAATTTGAACAGGTACATAAGAGAAAGGCTTGAGGATCCTAGTGATACTCTACGTAAGAGAAAGAAGATGCCTTCATCGAAAGTTAATGTTTGGAGAATGAATAACCAGTCAAGGAAGGATCAAAAGTTTGATGAGCCCTTGTTTACTGGTAATTTTCTATTGATTATTTATTTTCGACAGTTTTGCCTTCTTTTTCCCAAGGTTTTTGAAGAAAGATTATTGTCTGTTCATGTCTATCTGCAGGCTTCTCAGATGTTTTAGGCAGGGTCTTTGAAAAGGACTATGTAGCTTCGAAGCCATATCTTGCTGTTTCTGATGAAACTTTACCTGAACCTTCATCTGTAGCATCTCCTACTCGAGAAGCTGAAACAGAAATTAATCCGGTCTCTCCAATTCCACGAGTTATCGTTCCTGATTCTACTAATCCAGACAGTACAGTTCAGCTATCTCCAGTTCAACAAACTGATGATGCCCAAGACTTTACAGGTCCTCGACCCACGCATGCAGAGTCTGTAGCAACAGAAGCTCAATCTCCGCAGACATTTGATAATGATGACATTGGAATCGAACATTTAAGGGATGGTGGTTTCCCTGTGTACATGCCGTCACCACCTCCAAGATCTTCACCTTTTAGAACCAATGACTTCACCACTCAGCCTGGAACTTGGGAGACAGAATCTTACAGAACAGAGCCTTCAACTTCCACAGTTCCAGAGGACTTGCCTGGACCAAGAAATTTGGGGCTTTCACCTGTTTCTGAAACGACTAATGAGGTTTGTTCTCACATGTTTGCGTGTTTTGTTTTTACCATTCTTGGTGGTTCGCTAACCTTGATAGCAAAACCATTTGCATGTGCCATACAGGAACTTTATTTCCTGGAGGTAGGAGGGAATTCCCCAGTAGGAACACCTAGTCAAGATTCTGATGCTTTGACAGGGAGAGCAAGGTAGATATATTCCAAAAACCATGTGGATTTAAGATCCTACTGTTTCTCTATTAACCTGTAACATTCATTGAACATTGCAGAGCCTTGGCTCAGTATCTTAGACAACGTTCTTCAAGTAGTCCCACATCAAGCCATCCTTCTGGAGATCTAAGTTTGAGCGAGATCTTGGCAGGAAAGACAAGGAAGCTAGCTGCTCGAATGTTCTTTGAGACACTGGTGAGTGATTCTCGATACGTGTTTTTTTTTCTATCTCTGCACTGCCTCTAGCTTAGACGAGTTGTCTTTGAATTGCAGGTTTTGAAGTCTAGGGGACTTATAGATATGCAACAGGACCGACCCTACGGTGATATCGCTTTGAAGTTGATGCCTGCCCTTTTTTCAAAGGTTCAAACATGAATAAACAATGCTTAGTAGACTTATTTATGTATATTATTAGCATTGAAGCAAGACGAGGAAGTAGTCATTCTTAATTTATTGATCCCTGGTTTGATTACATTTTGTTCAAGTAAAGCTTTACTCGAAGAAAGCATGGGTAAACGTCTAAAATCCATCATTAGTCAATACTTCACTTGAGTTAAAAGTGACCATGTTGTAAAAAACAAGTTTTTGAGATTCTCTATGATTCTGGAAATGAAAATGAATTGAAGCTCTCAACATGTGTATCATAGAGAAAGTCCTCACCCAATGGAATCAAAAATATCAAACACAAAAATAATCGGGTACTTGGAGCAGCATACAACTAGCCCTCCACGTATGAAGCCTGCCCACGATCTTGTTACACTTTACTATGTTTTGTTTGTTTACAGGTTGCTAATTAAAGACCACCCTTAGTGATAAGAATATTAGATCAAAAAGAAAATGGATTACGTACCTCAAAAAGTTGTCGAAGACAAAGAGTATATATAGATAGCCTCATCTATACTATTAATTGGGAATCATTCTAACTTAAATAACCTTATAAAATGTAAAAAATTATTAAAATTGCCATTGGAAAATTTACAACCTACGATTACATTACAGATTTTGTCAAAGGGCATAATAGATAATTTGCAGACAATTACACGCGGATCTACATTCGGATCTTGGAGCCATGATTCGGATCCAATAAATTCAGCTTGCTGGGCTTAGTCGACATGGCCCAATAAATTTCTCTCGCTTTTAGTACTCACATCTGCATTAATTCAAATTACCACAATTAGTTTCGTGCATAGCAAAATATTTCCCTAACAAACAAACATATATATTCTCCTCTTCACCGATATTTCCACAACAACTCAATCCCATATAATCAGATGATTAAAACTAAACTTGCAAAATATTTCCCTAACAAACAAACATATATATTCTCCTCTTCACCGATATTTCCACAACAACTCAATCCCATATAATCATATGATTAAAACTAAACTTATCTCTTTATATTTGATATCCTTGATACCAAAAACTACAAACTCTATCTATTCATATCGGAATAAATTAAGCATATACCATAACTATTTTTATTCTCAAATATTTTCTTAGGCGATAATTCTCTAAATCCTAAGCAACCCTAAACGTCTTCTATCTATTATAAATATAGAAATTAAACAACATTCTCAATACTCAATAACCTATCAAACCACCTCTATACCAAATAAAAAATGGCTCTTTCCATCACCGAACTGAATGCAGTGAAACCATTCAAAACTCAATGGAAGATCCAAGTGAAAATCGTCCATTCGTGGATTCAATACACCCAATATTCTGGGGAGACTCTCGAGATGGTTCTTGCTGATACAACTGTAAGTATCTTTTTACCAATAGTATAGATTTACTCTTTTAATGGGTATGTATTCATCTAATGTTAAATTCTCCTAATTTGCTAAATACAGGGTACCTTGATTCATGCAACTATCAAGAAACAGCAAGTCAACAAATTTCAAAGGCTCATCACAACTGGAGAGTGGAGAACTGTGGAAAATTTCACAGTTGCAAAATCTACTGGAAAGTACCGGCCAACCAGACTTCCATTCAAGATGACCCTCATGAATACGACTGCTATAAGTCGTATTCCTTCTATTTCTGAGGAGTTTTACTTTGATTTTGCTAACTTTCCAGACATTCTGAATGTTAATGGATTGAATGAAAACATCTTGATTGGTATTTTTCATTCCTCCTAATTCTGTATATAGTGTTTAAAGCAAAAAAATAGCAATCTAACACCATTTCATATATTCTACAGATGTTCTTGGTCAGGTCGTGAGTTTAGGTGAGATGACAACTCACGATGTCAACAACAAAGCCACCAAAAGATTTGAGTTTGAACTGCGTGATACAAAGTTTGTGATCTATTTACTCTATTATTTTTTTCAAACAACTGTCTATTTTTTAATACAAAATCTATCATTTATCTATTATAGTGATGAACGCTTGACATGTACTCTTTGGGGGAGGTTTGCTGAGAGAATGTGGGATGCATGTCAAAATGGAGGCAATGAAAGGGTCATTTGTTTGATTCGCCTTGCTAAAATTGGTTCATTCAAAGGTATATTGTTTTGGATTATTTACATTTGGATGCTTAATATGTTTATTACATTATTAGATATTACTAATATATTGCAAATTCAATAGGCGAAAGATCTATTTCAAATGCCTTTGACATGTCTTTGTTGGAAATAAATCCAAACTATCCTGTTGTCCAAGATTTTGTGAACAAGTAAGTTTCTGAAAAAACTTAAAATATACCTAATATTTGCTTTACTAACGTATTTACTTATATTAATTCTCTTATCTTACATTGAACAGCTTGCCAGCAGACGTCCCTGTACTTACTATTCAAGAAGTGATGCCTAAGGATACCAAAATCATTAAGAAGAAGGCATATTTTCAGACTTTTCCCAGGAAAACCATTTCTGAAGTTTTTGAAGCCACTGAAGTAAGTATTTATCATAGATTTTGAAATCAAATCTATATATTTAAATATAAAGACTAATATGTTTCTACTATGTGTCTAGGTTGGTAAGTGCAATGTTATTTGTACTATCTTGAAAGTGGACACAGACTATGCTTGGTATTTCTTTAGCTGTCTTAAGTGTAGCAAGACAGCGTATAAGATACCAAAAATTGAAAATGAGATTGTCAAAAAAGGGAAGAAGCCATTGTTTTGGTGTCCAACATGTAAAGAAGATACTCCTAAGGTCTTACCAAGGTAACTACAATATTTATATTCTTTGGATACACGATATTTTATAAGAAACTTTCTAACTCCTTTATATTAAAATTTTGTGATATAGGTACATGTTAAACCTTGCAGTGATGGATAACACTAGAAATACTATGTGTAAGTTGTTTGACAAAACAGCAGCTGAGATCATCGGAGTGTCTGCAGAGGATCTTTTGGAAGGGAATTGGGATGAGGTAGTAACATTTTACATTAAGTTATTATCAAAAGAAGTTTAAATTATAATTCCTAAATATTGATTTTACCATGCTTGACATAACAGATAAAAGATCCAACTAATTTGCCTGGACCTGTTAAAGATTTGGTTGGGAAGACTTTCCAGTTTGTGCTCAGTATTGGAAAGGAGAACATCAATGAAACAGATGACACATACAAGGTGTTTAACGTCTGGTTGGGTAATGATTTATACGATCTTGATAATGTTGAAGAATCCGAGAACCAGATTGATCAAGCTAATGATCTGTCTATTGATCAGGTAATTTAAACAATTGGTGCACCCAAACAAGTTCTATCAAATACTTATTCAACTATATCACTAAAGGGCAGGATCTTATTCAAAGATTAGTGAGTACCACCTATTGTTTTCTAATATCAAATAGTGTACTGGAAATTTTTAAGACTGTTGGCATCAAATCTCTTATATACAACTTTCACTAATATATAGATGGTCACTGGTTTGAAACAGGAAGCTCTTGCTTTGACTAATAGCAGTGACACAACAGATGTAAACACTACTTCTTCTGCAACTCCTTCTTCAAAAAGAAGTAATGAAAGTTCTGACGAAGCTGAAGGGCAGTCTTCTACTACCAAAAAGGTTTGTGTATCTTCAATTCGTGAGAAGATTGAAGAGGATAAGATTGAAGAGGAGAAGATTGAAAAGCAGAAGATTGGAGTATTGAAGATTGAAGAGGAGAAGGTGGAAGGGGAGAAAATTGAACCTAATTAGATTTAGGGAGCTATGCTAAAGTGTTGCGGGTTTGATGCATGGAAGTTGTTCTATTTCAATGGTTTTTATGTTTTTCCTCATTCCAGAATTATTCAGTTATTTTGATTCATGTTTGCTACTCCAGCTATTTTCATTTCAATAAAAACTTCCAGATTTAGAGTTTACTAACCTCTTGAAAGATCTTTCTCATACATGAATAAGGTCCACTTCCAAGCAATTTCTACCTTCAGTAATCCTGGAGGCAATAAAAATTCAAATCATATAAATATATAAATCTATATATATATGAAGAAGCCATCCATGAAATTAAATAAATACAATATACAAAATCACAGAAATAGTAAAGCCTTAGCTTATTTCTCAATCAAAACAAAATGCTTTTCTAAAGAAAATCACAACTTAATCAATCATATAAAAGTTAGCAACGACAACAAAGTTTTGATTATCTATATTATTAATTGGGAATCACTCAAAACTAACAAACCTAATTTTGGTAGATTAATTACAATGAATGCCATTAGAATTATTGAATTTAAAAAAACAAAAGAAAAAAATTCGAAAAAATATATTCAAAAAAATATATATATATATATATATATTTTTTGTTGAGCATTTTTCTTTTGGTCAAAAATATATATTCAAAAAGTATATTTATTTATTTTGTTGGAGCATTAACAATATATATTCAAAAAGATTTTTCTGTCTTTTCTATCTAAAAATCAAACAAACTAAATTTACTATTATGATTTAATAAGCTGTTTCCATAAAAATTGATAATAATAAATTCGAAATAATAAAAATAGAAAATACGACTGTTTACGATTAAATCAAATCTTAAATTTGTTTACGAAATCATATCACAACAGTTATTATACTTGCCAAATATAACTCTAATCTATGTTGCATAGAAACGGAAACGGAAACGCGGAAGCGAAACGTTTCGAAAACGAAAAACGATATTTTCTAAAATTAGGGGTTGGAAACGTTTTGGAAACATATACACATACATATGTATAATATATATATATATATATATAACACATTAACTTAAAACTATATTAAAAATGGTTTAACCAATACAAGTCTAAAACATCAAAAATTAAATAGGTTAACTAAAATTCTAAAAGATAAAAATTAAAAGGTTCAAATTCAAATATTTAATTGAGACCAACATTTTTCTTTTATTTTCATTAGTTTTATTAAAGATAATATAAAACTGCATCCAAACCTGGTTTGTAGAGAGAAAGATCTTAAAATTCAGAGTCTTCCAAAATTAGTTATATGTATTATAAATCTTAATTTTTCTAATTTTTATTTATTACGTTTCTAAAGTTAATAAAACGGATTTGTTGTGTTTCCATTTTGGAAACGTGAGTTTCCATCGTGTTTCCAAATATAGATTTTTAAGAAACGCGTTTCCATGAGATTTTTCGTGTTTCCGAAGAGTTTTTCGGAAATGGGAAACGGATCTCGGAGAGAGTCTCTATGCAACATAGACTCTAATTATAGATTTAAAAAAAAAAAAAAATCAAGCATACAAGTCGAATCTATATTTAATACTTTGATTCGCAAACATATTGTTAAGATTATAATAGTGTGTTAACCTTAAATATTGAAACTGACTTTTTGAACGGGATGGGATGAGAATTCCTAAGAATATATCGTATAACATATTACAATTAAAATAAAACATTGCTTGTAACCATATATTAAAATGTTTTTTTCAATTTATCTAGCATAGCATGTGCCAAATAAAAGATTTTGGGACGGGTAAAGTTTATTTCTTGATAGAAATTTTGGGAAATTTGGGTATTTTCTAAAACATAATAGTGAAATATTGAGAAAATAAAGAAAATATGGATAACTTCAACTAATTATGTAAAAATTAAATACCTAAACGAAAATACATAAAATACGGGTATTCCATCCGAATCCTAGACCTACACGATATACAATCACAAACGAGTAAATTAACGCTTATGTGATTAAATATGTGTGGTAGATATGTGACCATACGGATTTTCTGTCTCAAAATTGATATGTCTATTTTCTCTCTCTCTTTTTAATTATGTAATTGTCTATACTGTAACCAAAAATAAATCTGATTAATTATTTTATCTAAACCAAATTGAAACTAAACCGAATACCAAACTGATATGAGGTAGGATAGTGAATGTTATACCAAATAAATACATATACAAACATAACCCCGCACGAACGTGCGGGTCCGAATCTAGTGAATCTTTAAATAGCAAAACCTTTTAAAAAATCTAAAGATGACCTACCGGTTCTAAAACTGTACTCTTTTGTATATTTTAGCAGACTAAAAATCTAGAAAGAAAGTTAACAATTATTGGTGGAATCTATCATACTCATCATTCTCTAAGGGACATGACTATTGCATAAACTTGGCCTTTGGCTACAGTTCTCATCATGACTTTGAAACTCCTCTAGGATTTGGTTCTCCATCGCGGTTTGATTCTGTATCTGATGCTGTTTATGATTCTGAGATAGAGTGTGGCTCTCAATCTTGATTACCTGATTCTAATAAAAGGTATACAGTTAGATGTGAGGAAAAGGAAGATGGCCAGATGCAACCAAGCTAGACATGTGTTTCGGCAGTGTCAATAACATGAAAGTTACGCTAATAAATGAATGCTCTGAGATATAAAATTTCAATCACGATCACGGAATTTCGAAAAAATAAACAGAAGAATCAACTTGTTGAGCATCTAACCTTGTACAAGTATTTCTTACGAAGTTTTATGGCTGTACGTATGCATCTTCTCACTCTAATTGCAAGCAGCTTGTCATTAAAAATCTGCAAATATCTAAAATCAGTAAGAAGTTTCAACATAGTATAAAGACATCACCACTACATATAGTGCAGAGAAACAGTAGTGTTCAGTAAAGAAACAAAGCTCAACATGCACAAATGCAGTGAAAAACATGCTACCTTTATCATGTCATCGATCGAGTGAGTTTCTTTCATGATCTTATGCCGATTCATGATTAGAATAGCTGCCACACAAAAGACTGGAAGAGGGTCATCTCCTTTCCCACAGGATGAAACTACAGAAGAGACATGGGTTCTTTCATTCCTAGACCATAAACTTCTTGTCAAGCCACAGAAATTGGATGAACCTGCTGGCTTCATCCCAGTACCATCAGACAGCGGACCAGTTTTTGGCAATGGACCACTCTCTGGCAGTAGACCGCTCTTGGACAACAGACTGCACTTTGACAATGGTCCATTCTTTGAAGTTCGGTCGCACTTCGAAGTTGGTTCACAATTTGTAGTAGTCCCATTTCCATCATCTATTTTATGGTCCCCCATATCAACTCCAGATCGTTTTGGAAGCTGAACAACCAACGGCTTCAAGCAATCTTTCTCTAAAGTTTCAGCAAAAGACTCATCAAAATCAGCAGCCCACATCATCTACAACAGATAAAGATCCATGCAAGAGTTTTGAATCTGATAAGTGAAGGCACATATGTATAATAAGAAATCCAAGATTCTCTTTTCTACCAAGCTCTTGCAACCACTACATAACTAAAATCCATTTGTTATCATGAGTGAGACACAAATTCATCTAAATACTATAGTTTCAACAGCTATATCAAATTCAAAATATGTAGTTAAAAGTAAAGTCAATTTGTTTTCCAGCTTTCTACTCTGTTTTTTCACCACAAGGAAACCTATCACAAAAATGTAACTACTTTGTGGGCTATAAGATAAAGGAACAGAGTGAATAAGAAACTGGCAACAAAAAGAAAACAACAGAAGAATTACCAACCTCCCACATCCTTAGAGCCTCGTTAAAAGACAACTCTCGTCGAAACAACACTAACAGCATCCGGAACGCAAAGTGAAGGCTCTCAGCACCAATACGTGATAGGTGTGAAAACATTTCTTTATCTGTGAGTTGCAATATACGCCACAGTGATTGCAATTGATCCATCACTCCAGTTGGTCCCTCCATCTGGAAATTTGCACGCTACAGTAATAGCCACATTGCAAAAGAACATCAAATTACACCATAGCCTTTGTCAATTGTTGGGGGAAAAAACAAAACATATGTTACGTATCAGTAAGCATTGGAATACCGTTCTTCTTATGAGCATTTCAAAACACCAAAAGGCGTCAGCATTATCTTCAAAAAGAAACACAAATGGAGACACTAAATCGCTCATTCCTGTCAACAGATTTGCAAACAGACATTTAGTATCCTACATTAGTATGAACTCATACGAGTGCCCTTTTATAATTACAAACCCAACCCGAGAGAGATTTGGGACCTTGGCAATAACCAGTTGCAGGATCAACCCAAGCATAGACCGCAAGAATATCTGACATTCTTCCTAGATTTCCTGGATCCTCGTAGAACTCAAGGTGGCTATCTGTCCTTACCACGTCAACAACTGAGGAAACAAAAAGTAATAATTAGTTTGGACTAGTGACCATTAACATGCGCAGACTGAAACTGAAAAGCAAGATTTCCTGCAAGATCTTGAAATAAAAGAAATGCGCAAAACTGGTACCTATTCGGTGCAATGTCCAAAGCCATTCAGACACTCGATCTTTCTTTACAGACCCACCTCGAGTAGGAGTCTCACTTGCCGACGGCGTTTCAGGGACATCTGATATTCTCAAACCATCAACAATCTCTGACGTGCAGCCAGAATGAGACAACTTTTCAACAGATTCATGATGTACAGTTACGTTGCTATTAGAAGACCCATGCGGTTCTATAACTAAATCTGCATTCTTGTAAATTCGAAAACTGTGCATTCCCTCATCCTCCGATCTTAAGTCACTATGCGTTGAAGTTTCTTCATCTGGAGTAGAAATCCCTTTCTTGCCTAAACTACTCCTCCCAAACAAATCTGTAACCGGTAGAGAGGGAAAGTCAAAGATATCATCTGCAAATGGACCAGGGGAAGGAAAGCCATATGGACTGGACGCGGGTACAAAAGGAGAAGTTTCATATACTGTGCTATCAGGACTTTCTCTTCCATTTACTAGGTCAACTGACTCACTGGAGCTTCCCCTTCTGTGCACATGAGATTTGTTGGTGTCATTATTACTCCAATCACGGTGATCTTCAGTGTTCTCATTGCCATCTAAACAAGCTTCTCTGCCTTCATCTATAGCTTCCTTTACAGCCTCATTTTTGTATGATTTTCGCATATCCATAACTTTAGATCCCACAACATAGGCAAGTGAACCAGTTCCCACACTAGAATGCATCATCTGGCATTGCTTGAGCAGCTCATTGTATCGTTCTCTGCATGAATTATGAACAGCGCATTAAGCTTTTTCTATTAAACTCGAGTTTCACTTAGCACTCCATCACGATACAACATCAAAGCAAACAAACTGTCCAACCTTCGAGCTACCCTGAGTTGCCTACGATACTCGGAGGTGCTGCCCAATGCATAACAGCCAAGGAGAAATTCCCAAACTTGAGCTCTTATAGATGGGTCGATTCCCTTAGAAAGGAGACATGGAATGCATTAGAATACCGTATTAAAGAACAAACAAGAGTGGGCTAGCCTGAGCAGCTAAAAAAATCATCTGCAAAAACAGACATACCCCCAAAATAATTAATTTGAGCGCCTTGTGGAAACCAGAAACCTTTCCATCGCAATCGAAAAAAGCCTGCCATTTCTGAGGCTTAAGCATTTTGCCGATCTGTACATTCGAAACACTCATAATCATCTTCTTCCAAGAAGAGAGAAAACTACATCTGGTAATGAAAGCATGAAATAGAGGGTGAAAGAAAGAGCCTTACATTTAAAACAACTTGAATCCCAGATTGTGAAAGACAAGGCTGGCTCAGATCCCGAAGCAAAGATGCCACCACTTTTTGTAGACTTACAAGAGCAGGTTTCCGACAAGTCCATTTCTTTCCCTCTCCACCAGAAATCATCAGTAATCAAAACACACACACACACCAAGCCTCCCCCCTCCCCAATGCCCAATTCTTCCTCGAGAAAAGGAATCATCCGTTCTCAACACAGCCCAAAAGCAGCAAAGAAACCTGCAACAAGACAGCAGTAAATTGTCAACATACGAAACAAGAAGAGAGTAAACACAGCCAAGATTTCACATATAACGGACAGACACACATTGCTGTATCGGCCATTGACAATCAAAAGAGAGATAACCAGTGATCAACCGATACCCGAAACCACCCCAAAACAAAAGGAATTCATAACGAGAAGAAAAAAACTCAATTTCACAGCCAAAAATGAATAATCCGAGATATAAAGCTTTGAAATTTGAAAACTTGACGACATAGGAATCTACAAACATGAATCATTCGATCCCGTTCGACTTTAGATTGGATAAAGCAGCAACATTCCTCAAATACATGAATAAATCTAACGCCGTAGATCCTTTGACGAGCAATGAAATGCATAAAAAGGTGAATGCGATACTCAATGCAGAGAGAGAGAACCTGTAGATGATCATGGAGGACATTCTTCTCCGGTGAACATCTTTCCTCCCAGGGAAAGTCTTTCTTCTCCGTTGATTTGTGTGTGCTCTCTCTTTTCTCCTGCCTTTTTTTTTCGCCAAAGTTTATCTTTTTAATTTAGGTTGACATTTCAATTAGTCAATTTTATCAAGAAACTTCTTGTATTTGTTCGTGCGATATTGATAATTACGAAGCTGTGCGTGCGAGAACAAGAGCTGAAATGAAATCGACATCAATACTAAAAGTATTATATGTTTCGTGAGAATTTAGAAAACGTATTGTATGAAGAAGATTGATTAGTCACGCCGGTGGATTTGCCTTTCATTTTACACATGTTGTTGATCCAATAGATCTAAGAAATAAAAGAAAAAAAATGTTTGATCAAATCCCATAATTTTCAAATTTATTTTATTTTTCATGAAAAAGGAAAAACTAAGAAATGTACCACATTTCTCCAAAATCTTTCCAAATGTACCATATTTGGGAACTTCTTTCCAATCCTACCACATTTGGAAAGTGGAGTTACGATTTTACCTCTCCTTTGTTGGGGAAGTTTTTGCGTTTCACGATGCAACGATTTGACTTCTCTTAACTGTTTTGCTTTCCTATTTATCTCTCATCCCTCGAGACACGTGCGCTTTAACAGAGAAACATTATCTCTCATGAGACTAAACAATTAACTTTCGTTTTTGTCTCGAGACCTTGTCTTCGATTGGAAATTCTCTGTTGCGTCTAGATCTTGTCCCCGATTTCATCATTCTGCTCTATTATCATGAATCTCACATCTTGTCCACCAATTATTCTCGTTTAAAAGTTTTGAATTTTATATAGATTTCACATCATCTATTTTGGTCTACAGATTAGTTGAGCATTATTGTCTTCACCTACATAGATTATTGAACTTTTTTTCCTTCTATTGCGGAATAACAGAAAAATCCAGTTGTCCCCGAGTAAATCCAGATATTTGGCGGACAAAACCACACCATCTGGCGATGGACAATAAAGAGAATTAGATGATAAAAATCATCATGCTCAATTTTTGATCTAATCATATTACTCATTCGATTTGAACTTGTCCCTGATCTAATTATATTACCCATTCGATCTGAACTTGTCCTCAATCTAATTCTATTACTCATTCCATATGAACTTGTCCCCGATATGATTATATTACTCATTCGATCTGAACTTGTCCATGATCTACTTTTATTACTCATTCGATATGAACTTCTCCTTGATCTAATTCTACTACTTATTCGATATGAACTTATCCCCGATCAAATTCTATTACTCATTCGATCTGAACTTGTCCCCGATCTAATTATATTACTCATTCCATATGAACTTGTCCCCGATATAATTATATTACTCATTCGATCTGAACTTGTCCCCGATCTAATTCTATTACTCATTCCATATGAACTTGTCCATGATCTACTTCTATTACTTATTCGATATGAATTTGTCCTTTATCTAATTCTATTACTCATTCGATATGAACTTGTCCCCGATATAATTCTATTACTCATTCGATATGAACTTGTCTTGATCTAGTTCTATTACCGATTCGATATAAACTTGTCCCCGAGCTTAATTTTATTTTTCTCTTCATATGTCCCCGAATATTTGTTGGATCTTGCTGAAGACCTTGAAGGATCCAGCCATACTCTATTAATATATTATTTAATTATAATTATAAGTAATTGTAAACGTACAACATTTATTGCAGCTTGGTCCCTCTTCTCCAGCCAGTGCCAACTTGTCCTTTTATCTGACACAGCTTTATGTCACCATCAAGGGCAATTTCGTCCGCTATTTCGCATATGGCAGAGAAATATGGTAGATTTAGAAAGTTTTTTCAGAATATGGTAGATTTGGATTGCTACATCTCTAAAAGTGGTAGATTTGGAAAGATTCCCCATGAAAAACTATATATTTGTTAGACTTCTTTTTAATTTCCCATAATAAGAGTTTGAGGTGATACATAATGGGCCTAAAGGATCCATATTTCGGATTGTACGGATGGGCCTGTTTTGGTTTATCTAAGAGGGATGGTCCAAACTTAAAAAAGACCACAGCGAACGATTTCGTCCGCAATATATTATAACTCTCTATTAAGAATTGAATCCATTATCGTTGATAATTGGTATATTGATCGCACTAGATTTTTTGATCAAGTTGATCTTTTTATTCATACTAAATAATTTTGCCGGACCTAGCTAGCTTTATTTTATGCCAATTAGAAAGCTACTAAATGAAAATTGGGTGGTGAGCCAAGATAACCTGCTGAACTATCATCAATTAAAATTTTGTGTATTACTAAAACTGTTCTCTTATATTAAATGTAACAATGAAAGGGAAAATAATTAAGGTTACGCACTCATCAATGTATCATTCGATGTTAGAAAGCGACCAACGTCATAAGTTGACATTACTTGAAAAAGAATTACAGTGGAAATCTTCTACTTCGACGTTAACATTTTTATATTTCTTAACTTTATTAAAGATTTCTTTACTTTACTGCGATTGAATATTATGATGACTTCTTTTTATTTATTTGTTGTGCAAACGATTGACGAAAGAACCTTTTTTGATATAAAACAAGTAGTAAAAGGTACACCTGTTCTAATAACCATGACATGGTATGAAATATGAATATACTTCCTTCTTTTAATTAGTCTTATGTACAGCGAACATGGACCAAAATACTCCTCTCTTTTTTCTGTTGACAGATTCTTTTTCTCTACATATCGTAAAATACTTGAACCAAATTAATATATAAGACAATCCGATAATATATTTAAGACAACTAATATTGAAATTGAATTGGACCGTTTCAGCCGTATCTATCTCGTGTTATTAATACAGTATCAAAACCATTTTGGAGCGTTCGATTTTGATTAGACCAATGTTTTTTTATTATTAGACCTTCGTATACCCGTTAAAAATTTTGAAATTGAGTATCTAAACTCAGTTTTTAAATCATAAACACTGTACATTTGATTCAATTTAGACGACAAACTAGTTACGTGCCGACACGAAAAATAAACGAGTTATATATAATCCCTACATCGCATAGGTAATGCAAAAAAACTAATCACACTAAGAAAATTAAAGAAGGGTTTAAAAAAGTAAAAAAGATGTTAACAGCAAATAGAGGAACAAGCACAATGCTACAAGATACGTAGGTAGGCTTTGTATATTGTTGAAGATTCCACGTATGGAGCTAAGGAATCTTGAAAGAGAATCCGAATCTTAGAAAGAAATATGGATGGTCAGGATTCTTCCTATCTCTACTTTTAGGAATCTGTTTTAAGGAGAATAACATGTAACGACAAGAGGAAGTGGATCACTCGTGACATAAGCGCCCATAATTTTATGTATTACTTTAATGCCCCGGGCAACACATACTTTGGATGTTCTCGAAGAAGTTATGTATATTTGATATTTCATGTAATCCTCGGAGTAATCCTCATCTTAATTATACAAGTTCTCAACAAACGATGAAACAAAAAATGAAAGAAAACAAAAAAGAGATCTTTATAAACCACACTAATCTCTAGAAATATAAATAAGTCAGTTTTAATAATATTTTCTCGACTTTTCTACCAACACTTTTAAGTGTTGATCGAAAATACTGATTAACGCTTAGATGACTAGTTTATGGAAGATGATACACTTATTGTTTTTCTATGGTGTTTAAATATTTTTGGTCTTCTGCTATTTGCAAATATTTAATTATTTTTCATGTGTATTAGTAAAGAATTGTTATATCTCTGCCGACAGACGCTCCTATACTATGGGAGATCCAAAGCAAATTTTAAACTAATAAGTATGTGGTTTATTAATTAAAAACAAAACTGTCTAAACAAAATGGCTTAGGTTTAGGATGATCCTTGCTTATGACCATCGGTATTACTATGCAAAATATTTTAATTGAATAAACGAAAGTAAACAAAAAAGAGTGACATAGATATGCAGTAAACAAAAGAATATTTTAATAGGGAAAACATATAGTACTATAGTCATTAAGCTCACGACAGCATAGCAAAATAGTGGAAGGTTATTTTTTAATGAAAAACTGGATCAATGGCAACAAATTATGAATTAACTTAATCTTAACCGTTTATAATAATAGTAACACATTAGTTGTCTCCTCTACTCAAATATCTTTTTTCTTTCCAAACCTATCTCTGATACAGAATATCAATCATGACATTAGTTGTTCTTAATTCTTATTGCTAAGCAGGAAATAATAAAGTCTAAAAGGAGAAGAGAAAAGAGTTTATTTCCATATTTTGTCGCTATAAATTAAATAAAAAGGTTTTGTTTAATAAGGAAAGTCGGCATGAGAAAGAGGAGAAAATGACAGCTCTCTGAGTGAAAGAGGGAATGAAGGAGAGAAGAGTTTACGCCAGATTACGCAAATTTATGTCTTCCGAAATCTAACTGTTGTCCACGTGTCATTTTCCTCTTCACTGTAGATTAAAGTTATCCTTTGTCTCCCTTTTTCATTATCTGTATTTTTTGTTTTGCTGAATTTTTTCTATATCCATTTAAAATAATAATAAAATCTTCTATTTTAATTACGGTTTTGAAATGGTCACACAACATAAACAAAATTTGCAGGAATATATACATTCCTACCTTTAAAATGAAATAATAATAATAATAATAATATCAAAAAAATAAAAAGAGATTCACTTTACTTTTTCTCATTACGTCATCCGTGGTAGTGGGGTCGTTTTTTTACGGCTCAGTGACTCACACACACACGCCAAAAGCAGAGAGTATAATAACAATTAAAATCGCGTTTTAAATTAGCGATTCCAAGAAAAGCAAAAAAAAAAAAATTCATTTTTCACCTTCCTTTCTTAAAAAAAAAAAGAAGCTCAAAAGAGTCTCTCCTCCATTAATGGAAGGAACCGTTTCTCTGCTGATGTAGCTCTAAGCTTCTACCGCAATTTCCTCTAACTGAAACCAAATCGGCTTTACTACTCCAATTTTCTAAAAAATAAAAGTTTCCTCTTTTATCTCTCCTCTGTGGCTTAAACCACTCAAGTTTCTACTCTTCTACACTCTCTTTTAGCTTCATGCTTCATGCTCCAGGTTCAGGTCTAAAACCTCATAATTTGGTTCTCTTTTCTTTTGTGGGGTTTGTTTAAAATTGCAACTAGATGATGACTCTTAGATTCCTCCTCAATGTCTTGTTATTGTTTTCACGTTATTTCAACCAAACAATAGCAAAATTGTTACATGTTTTGGATGTTCATTTCTCGGATTTGGGATTTTTTTTTTCTTTTCCTTGCGGTGAAGTTTGTCCTGTTTCGTAATTTATGAACATATGATTAATTTAGTGTCCTGTTTGCAATTACTTCCATGTGTAGGATACTGATTAACATTGCTCAATTGAACCAAACTGCTAAAGATATCTGTATTACAAGGTAACCAAACCAGTCAGGAAACAAAAAGTCTCTGTCTTTGTCCAATCTCAGCAACCAAAAGAATGGAGAACCCATCATCATCCAGAGACAAAGGTTTCTGTTTTCCAGAAATTCCAGTAGAAGAAATGGATGGTTGGGTTAAGAATTTGATCTCTGAAGAAGATATGTTTAGCTCCTCTTCAACTTCAGAGCTTATGAATTTTGAATCTTTTGCTTCATGGTGCAACAGCCCTTCCGCTACAGATATCTTGTTCTCTCAATACGGTTTATCGACCTGTACGCCTTTTGGAGGCTTAGAAGGCTCATACGCTGGCGAAAAAAGACCGGTACAGGAGATGAGCTCTCAGTTTTATTGCCTATCTGATACCGAAAAGACAAGTGGTAAACGAAGCAAGGGTAATAATCAGACGAGTAGTTTATCCGGCGCAGTAGACTGTAGTGTTCCAAGGTCATTGAACCACTCTCTTGATGAGAAGATGCTCAAAGCATTAAGTTTGTTTATGGAGTTCTCTGGAGAGGGAATCCTGGCACAGTTTTGGACTCCTATTAAGACAGGAGATCAGTACATGCTTAGTACTTGTGATCAGGCGTATCTGCTTGACTCGAGGCTATCCGGATACCGTGAAGTGTCGAGGAGATTCACTTTCTCTGCAGAAGCAAATCAGGGCTCTTATCCAGATTTTCAGGCAGAGCTACAAGACTGTATGCTTCGCTATTTCTCTATGTGAGTCGG